GAATAAGTCCGATGGCAGTCACATCTTGTAATTAAAGAGATGCCGTCAGAAGCATGTAGTCTCTGTATAGAGACTCCGTTTTCCTCTATATTAATTATAAGGGTAAAAATAAATTACACATAAATAATAAATTAAAATTTTAAAAAGATACGTTGGAATATTATGTTAAGAGTTCGTCTGGCAAAATAATATAAACATTGTAAACTAACTAACGTTGATTTTAATATTTCGGTAGCATTTAAGTCTAGCTCTTCCTTGTTAAGGCCGAAGCTACAATATTTAACACCTGGTACGATTCGTAATGGGTGTAAGAAGTATATAATATGTACTAAATACTAATGTAACTACTACAACTAAATACCTAATAATATGTATTATTAGATACATCTAGTCGCAAAGATTATATTTTATAATACACCAACAGTTGACGACTACGCAAAGTATAAAAAAATCTTGCTTTTTTTATGGTAATAGTTTATAATCTCTCTTATACGGTGTCAATAATAAATTGCAAAATCGTTTTATTGTTACTCCTTCTTTTTTTAATCGTATTTCCGGGTAAAAAAATAACAGCACCTAATCCTTTCTTTTCTCCACAGCATGGCGTGTAGATAACGAGACCGCGTGTATAAATCACATACGATTAACCGAGGTGGTTTATATCGCAGTAGTAAATGTCACGGTTTTCGCCATAACTCACCGCCTATTTATCATTCGGAAACTATATGAAATTCGTATTTTTTCCGCCTAATTTCAACTTTCGGCAAAGTTTTGGCAACTCTGCTCCATTCTAATGAACTAAACAGCGTACACCCCTCGTCTGATACCATCGTTGTTGTTTAATGCGTTGTGAACAATTCACTACAGCAATAAACATTCCCACGATACACACACGCGCACACACAAACGCCAAAAGAAGCTTTATTTACGCTTTCGATATGAGTGCACTGTAGCCTGTAGGCCTCTGGTGTGTTAAAGCATATTTTGAACTATTATAATACTATAATATTATTATTAAAATATAATTTCAGCGGTTTCAAACGGTAACAGGCATTCTGACGGGTTTAAATTGCGTAGGTAGTAAGTAGGTACCTATCCAATAACGTATCGATTACACGTTCTGCGGAGTGTCACCTTAATGAGTGGGAAAGCCATTATTATTTTAGAGGACCGCAGTGTTAAATATTAATGCTACTTTGTAAGCATACAAGCGGCTACGCAGCATAATAGGTGTACCGATAATAAATTATCGCACAACGGTACCGGTGGTTAAAATGTATGAAACGTTAAATTATTAACACTTCAGTCTTCAATAGTTCAATATACCTATAAATAATAAATATATTAATACATCGATCTATATCCCAGTTCAATGATACTATAAAAGTGCGGAATTGTCTTTCCCTCTTGGTCGTTTACCTTAAAGACGTGGCGACGGCACTTTAGGATATTGAAATAATTATAATTCAGGCGCCATAAATTATTTTCTGAAGTATGAAAATATAAAATACGTATAATTATTATTTATCAGCAAAAACGGTGTAAACATAATATAATTTCTAACTTGTTGTTATCAATTAATTATTTTATTCAAATATAGGTACCCGGGAGTAATACAAATTGAGCCTAAGAATAAAGGTATTTCTTTAAATTTTAAACACCTATATTTACAATTAAAATTATTTCATTTAAACTTGTAATTCGAGTATAATAAGTCTTCTTGGTAGTTATTTAAAAACACATGTTCATAGTAAGAGTGAGTAAAATACTCAATTCATAACGTGCACTTACTTTCTGGTATTTCATTTATGTGCATTTGCGGTTAGATACAATGATCATTTGCATTTCGCATTACCTGCAGGATACATTACCGTGGGTGGAGATAAGTACCTACTCCATTAAAACCGAAACGGTTGTACCTATGTATTTTTATAGGCGCGCTCCAACTGGAATTCGTATTGCGTATGAACAATGCAGTTTCAAAGTGTGGGTAGGTACAATATTATTTTGTTGGTAGGTACTTGGTTCCAAATTGGCCTGTAGGGAAGACGCTTGAGTTAAGCGTATAGGAGTTGAAAATTGATGTTCTGGGTATAAGAAGCTAAAAATGTAATGGAGATCATTGAACTACACGTACTACAAGGTGATCAACTTATCGTGAACCACTCAATATCTCACTGGGTTTAATAAGAAATTTAATTTTTTCTGTACATAGTGTTTTTATGCAAGGGGATCTTTTTTTTTTGTTTTTACCTCTCTCTCAAATTAGTTTTTTTGATAGCAACTTTTGAAACTTAAATGGTTACGTGTACATTCCATTAACTTTTTAAATTGGGAATAATATACTAAACATTTTGACTGGTCCATAACCAGTTTTGGATAACTTTTTTCGAAGCTATTTATTTCCCAACTGCACTTCCCCTCCCATCCTAAATTTAAAACTCTTATATCCAAAAATTAATAAATAAACACAATTTTGTGCAATTTTAAGATTTTTTTCTTATTTGCACTACTGCGATCAATCTATAGAAATGCTTTTTATATTTAATTTTATATTTTTAAATTTCGTTATTATTTTTTAGTTTACACCAAGTTAAAAAAAAACGATAAAAATTATTTTTTGAAACTCATAATGATTTAATTTTTAAAATTATTTTAGAACGTCATCGTTTTCTCAAAAAACTACAAAATATTTTCTACCCGAGTAGGCCTACACAATAATTTAAGGGCTAAATACAATTTTGCCGAAAAATTGCCTATACTAAACGCCTTAAAAAGTAGTATTATGTAAATGACCTCACATTTCTATTTATGTTTAAAAATGAATCCTACCATAAAAATACAACAAGTAATAACATTTAAAAACATAATGGATTGTATTGAGCTAACTTAATCAAGGGAATTTATCTACGTGAAACTGAAATTAAGAATGAAACCTAACCTACTATACAGCAATAGGTAAGTGGAATTTTTCGCATTCCTTCCAAATAAGTGATTTTCAAAATTCAGACATTTAAAAGAGTATCATCAGCAGTTTTAAAATGTATTGAAAAAATCATGTAGTCGCTATGTCATACACAGCTTATGATAATACATTACTTTAATATCTCGTTTACAAAAACCGTAAACGCACCTGTCTTGACCAAAAATGTCTTTATTTTTAGGTGGATTGTGAAACGGTCATAACATTTAACAACATCTGCTGTATCCTAATTAAATTAGTTGTATAAAAATGTTAATTCCGCCATTTAAATGATAACCGCACTTGTCGACTTGAACGTTTTTTAAACTATAACATTTTATAATACCCAACTAAACTAAATTTGAAAACTGTTTCAACGCACATAGGAAAATAACTACATGGATCAGATAATACAATTAATCATTAATTGTTATTCACTCTATGTAATATTATGGTCTGTATAAATTAAAGATAATATGCACATTGTATTGTTAAATCAAATTAATTTATCGATAATAATGACATCAGAATTGCCAACATTATTAAAAAAACTTGAATATTTTTCGCCCATGCATGATTTATGTATTTGTATTTTCAATACATTTATATTGCGATACCGAATTTAACACGAACACTAAATAAAATTACCTATTGGCCAACTTTCAAACGGTATTGGTTGGCTAGTGACATTTTAATTATTTTTAATTGTACGACTAACATAGTAAAAGTACACGTTTGGACCGTTTATAATATTTTAGTACAAATTCTAAACTATTAAAACAAAGTTTTAAAATCTTAATATATATTTTTTATAAAACATGTCACTGTTCAGCATTTGATATTTTTTGCACTTCAGGCTGAAATTTAGTATTACTGTAATAACTAATAGTACATTTTAACATACAATTATCTACGTATTATCAAAACTGAATAGCCAACAGGAATCTAACAAAGCATGAAAAGTTGACCGGAAACAGTGACCCTCGTTGAACTGTAGAACAGAATTGTAAGTGCGGCCCAAGGGATTAATACATAATAATTGGATTAACCTTTTACTAAAATATCGCTTTGTTGTTGTATTTTTAATATGTAAAATATTGCGTAACGTATGAACTTTTTTCAACAATTTTTTAAAAAGAGCAGTTATATTTATTCTAGCTTGTGTTTGTCCGCATTCAGAGAGAAAGTCATTACCTACCTAATTATAATTTATGACAGGCGAGTTAAACTTTTCGCGATAATTAAATTATTACGGATAGGTACTTTATACAGTTCTCTCTGTATAATTTATAAGGTAAAATTTTTTTTTATAGAGATTCTAATTATCATTTATACATTATACGACCATGTATGGGTTTATAACTACCGATTACATATTTTGACAATGGTTACGTTTGATAAAATTTAAAACAATATAAAGCGACCATATTTAAAAAGCAAATAGGAATACCTACCTACCACAATAATATAATTATCAAACAGGTAGCCAGCGTCAAAACTAGAATGTAAAATTAATAGAATTGTTATCCAGTATAACCGCTATTTTCTAAAAGAACATCTGTAAAGTACCAAAATCATTATGCTTTATAATATTATTAAGTATTAAAAACTATATGAATATTTTTTTATATACTAAAACATCAACTAATTTTGCTTCATAAAAAAAAAAAATTAATAACAGTACAATTCTTGAAATTTATTGTTATAAAATGACAATGTTCAAACTTTTAAATTTCTTTTAAATATCGATAATGTTGATACATTTAATTTGTTTTAAAACATATAGCCTACGATTACTATTTACTACAGCCAAAATACTATTAGTCAACCATTACTGTTCATAACATGAATTATTAGGTATTACAAAAAAAAAAAAAACATATTAATTTAATATCAATAGTCATCTCAGCAAATGTTATATTTTTGCAAAATAAAATTATACATAAAATGTCAATGAATTTACCATTCTACAACATAATAATTTTATCATAAAATTAATAGGTAAATAACATTTTAACCATAAACATATTTTAAGTCAGAAAATAAAAAAATGTTTAATGATACTCACAAATTAAACAATATATATATATATATATATACGTTTTTTTTGATAAAATACAATAAATTAATTTAATTTCTTCTTTTTAGATGAAGTCTTTTCTTTTTTCTGTAAAATATTAAAGAGTGCCCTTATTACAGTAAAATCAAAAACAAGTTTAAAAAAGTATTTACTACTTACAGCTAAAATTTTAGAAGGCGTTTTCTTATTTTTCTTGACTTTAACATTTTCTTCTTTAACTTCATCAACAGACTTGTCATCTTGTTTTCGTTTTTTCTTGGACTGATAATTTATGAAAATAATGAAAAATGTTAATAAAAACAATATATGAGATTTTTTTTTATTTAGACTAAAAGGCACACTTCTTTAAATAGATTGGATTTAATCTTTATAACTTGAATTTTTATGAACATATTTTGTATCAAATTGTATCGACTAGTTTAAATCAGAGATATAACATAAACAGGAACATCCTAAGATGACATTAAAGTAACCAATTTTTGGAGCAAAATAATACATTGGATAATGAATCGTTAGCTAGGAAGATAGTGGCAAAACAGGCTATGGTGCTAAATTAAATTAAATACCAGTAATTTTTTTGACTGTTCAAATTCATTCAAATATTCGGCTTCAGCATCATCACCATCATCTTCTTCTTCTTCGGAATCATTTGCTGCTTTATCTGAACCAACAGCCTTATCAGAGTCGTTATCTTCTACGTCTTCTTTCTCGTTTTCATCGGAAGACTAAAATATACGATATACTAAATTTCCAAACATCAACTTTATACGATAAGCAAAGAACATTGAATTACATAATTTAATTCTTCTTCATTATCTGATTCTTTACTAATATTCTTTTTAGTTTTTTTAATTACTACATCTTCTTCATCTCCAAAGTCAGATATTTCCTCTTCGGAACCCTATTATAACATGAAACCCAGCCATTAATGTTGATTAAAAAAAATATATATTTTCGAAACTTACCGAAAGAATAAGCACTTCACCGTTAGGCTTAACTTTGACTCGTTTTCCAAATAATTCACCTTCCACTTCTTTATCTTTAGAATACGCTTGAGATTGACTGTATGGTCCTTTGACATCGTTTCTAGAAACTATGTAAATAAAAACAGTTTACCATAAAATTCAATGCCACAAATTAGAACAATAGTTTCAAATTATTTTTAAACTTCAAAATATACATTGATCGATAAATCATTAATACGATAATTATATTAGCAATAACATACTCATCGAATAATAAATTGGAAGGCTTTCTGACGAAGGTGTTTTAAGCAACAAGCAGCGTATGTTTTTCAATCCTCCCGGGTAACTATACGCTAGATTATTAAATACCGCAATGATATTTTCAGCAACTTGTTTTGGAGTTTGTTTCATGTGTCCGACCTATTACAACATATTATAAGCAATATTTTTTAAATACTTATAAATTTAAACTACGTTATATTAGTCAAAATTTATAACTGAAATCAAACTAACCATGTTATATTATTAGTCAGTGGCGTACACAGATTTTTGCGATCCTACTTTTATAAAGAGCTCATGTTATTTATATTTTGAGTTTAAAATTTTAAAGAAACTTTTTTAATTTATTGTTGATTAATTGTAAATGGGATATGGGAAGAACTCAGTTCCCTCTTAGCCCTCCGTACGTCACTGATTTTAGTCATGTACAGTAATAATAATAATAATGATAATATATTACTTGAAGAGTTTTTGTAGTGCCTCTGTAATCCAAAAAAAATGAAGTTTTGTGTAATTTGCTTTCTATTTCGGCTTTTAAATGTTTTTTTGCCAATTTAACAGTAATCGGAAACCTAAAAATGTAATAATATATGGTTATTAGAATATCAACCAGATAATGTACTCATCACTTACTTTCTTTTTGTATAAAACTCTTTTCCTAGTTTTTTGACTAAAAATCCGCTAATTCTTTGATCAATAAGAAAAACATCGTGTGAATGACATAAATTTCTTCTAGCCTCATACTCATTATATTCAACACGAATCTGTCTTGATGGCAAAATCTAAACAAAAAAGTATATATTTAAATATATTAGAGGAAGTTATAATATCTAGATAAATTATTATTTCTATAACAAGACTTTGTAGAATAATAACTTACAGTTTTTATGTTGGTAATGCCATTTTTAGCCAACAGATCTTTGTAATGGTGGTATGTTTTCTCATGATCAACATTTCGCCCACGAATGAGATCAGGGACAATAAGACATATATCTGTCGTTTCAGTGATCAATGAATTAGGTAGTGCTCTAAAATACAATATTGTATGTATTAGGATTCCAAATGTGAAATGTATACTTTATTAACCTCCTTGTTGACTTACATTCTAACAACTCTTTTAGGGCCAACACCCATTTTTACAGCAGTTATAGTCAAATGTATTGGTGTAGCCTCGTCCCACAATTCTTTTTTACGATTAGCTCCATTCTGAACAAATGTAAAAAGTCCTTTGACTGCTTCTTCAACCTTAAATAGAAAAAAATAATTTAATAAATTGCCCGTAGAAAAATAATTTGTCTGTTTACCTTGGCAATATCAAGTTTAGGTTCATTATCTGATTCCCTGTTAGGCAATTGACAATCTTTGGTATCCCTTGGTTTACTTAACACTTTAATTTTTTTTGAAGGAACTTTAGATTCTTGTTTAACGGATGTTTTGTTTTCAGAGGAAATGAGGGCTTTTTTAGGTTCACTGTCGTTGCTGGTAAACTTTTTGGTGACCTCTTGAATTTTTGCTTTTTTCTCTAGTTTTAATGCTTTACTGACAGATTTCTTAATCGGTTTTGAAATATTAGCACAAGAAATACCGGTCAATTCATCACCAGCTTTGAGCTCTTCAAATGTATCGGTAATTTTTACAACGTTTTTTAAAGCACCGCCTGTTGGTTTGGATATTTTTTTCTTCTGAATTGCGCCGGATAACGATTTCCTTTGCGGTTTCGGTTTCAACAAAGCGGATTTTACTTTCATTGTGACTTGGTTATAATTGATCAAAACACGAATTAACAATTTAAAACTGAACTAACGAAATAATATTATTATTTTACTTCATATAAGTTAACGAGTACCTATTACGAACCACAACGATAAGTAAAGAACAACCACGTGCGTTGACGGCTTGGCTACCAACTCCATTATCATTTATCAAAACCAAATATTATCAAACCTACCAGTGTAGCCAGTGTTATAAGAAACAAAAAGTAAAAACTGCCACACTGTCAGTAATGTTTGCCATTGTATTTTGGTAGTGTAAATTAATTGTACCTAATTTAATTACAATAATAATAATAAAAAAACAAAACTATAAAATAAAGGATTCAATCAGAATGTATGTTTATTTTTAAATAGCTGTGATTCTATCATGGACACCCTTTAAATGATTTTCACAAATTTTTTATTTTAACAAAAAAAGAACATGGTACCAAAATTATACAAAAAATAATTTTAAAATAAAACATAATATCAAACATTTATGATTGATTTTTCGCTCAATTGAAATTACCAGGGAATCGTGCCTTACCTATAATTGACACAAACTCATTTGATATAAATAATGACATTTTTTTAAGCTCTATCACAGTTTCAGTTACTGTAAAAAATAGATTACACATACCAAATAATTTTATAATTAAATAAGAAATTTATTAATTACCTACTTCAGAATACATACACATTTTTAATGACCTCGAGTTCCATAATTTTTTACAATTCGAAGTAAAAAAAAAATTAACATTTAGTTGAAAATTGAATAAAAATGAAATGTGCCTAATATAATGGCTCCCAGCTTATTTGTGTTAAAAAATTCATACCATACTATCAGTGGCGTGCACAGGGGGGGGATATATTCCCTCCATGGGCCTTTTTTATACTTTTAACATTGAAGTTCATCAACATGCTATGTAATTTTTAGGTACTCGTTGAAACAAAATGTATCATCGAAAATACGTATTGTAGTGATAACTGATACTAAATACATTAACCACAATTACAAGCCATTATTTAAGACATCCCCCCCTTACAAAATTCATGCGCATGCCACAGGCCACTGCATACTATTATGTTTAAGAATCATATAGTTTGATACAAACTATATATATTAATTTTTATGCACCAAAACTGTTTTATAAAATTAATGCAATTCTTAAACAAAGTAAAGTCCTATTCTATTATTGTTCGAATATTCAAAAGAAAAATAGGTATTCTAATATTGTACTCGAAAATATAACACTTATTTTCTTTTGGAAATAAAAGGCTAGAAAAACATAACAGAATATTAATTATTATAGGTACAAAGTAAAATTTGAGAATAATCCACACATCTAAACTACATTTTTAATATACATACAAACAAACTTCTCAATTAGGACTAGGAGAACTGATTGTAAAAAAACAATAGGTAGCTATTTTCATAACAGCTTAATATTTTTATTTGCAAATATCACTGAAGTTTCAAATGTCAATTAAAATACAAATATAATGGCACACACAAATAAAACAACCTGTATACAAGAACAATACTTAAAAATAAAACATGATATGATAAATAAATGTGCGTAGCATATTTCTTTCCTTTTTTTTTTTTAATAAAGGCAATATTATATTTAACAATAAAATGATTTTATTTAACCTTATGATTAGAGCAGAATTTTATATTTTTTAGTATAATCATAAAAACAATAATAAATATACACTTTAGGTATAAAAATAGCTTAATATTAAAATAAGTTACAAATAGTTGTGGAAAGCGATGTTTGATTTGAAATATGTAATTTAAGCTAGCATTTATTTTACGATTGATAATTAATGCATAGGAACAGAGAATAAATCTTGTTTGTTTAATTATAATTTTGTATTTAATTAAACAAACTATGATTATGAATGGTAATTAGATGGGAACAATATTTATATTATTTAAAAACATTAAACAGTAGGCCGGATTAGTGCAGTTACAATTTACATCATCAATGTTATCACAATTACATGGTAAAAAAAATTATCTGGAAGGTAACTTATACTAAAATACCTTAAAACAATTTTAGTAACAATACTAATAAAATATCATACAAATTAACAGATCATTGAAATAACAGAGTTTCAATCCAAAAAGTTTGTTAATATACACACATACTCGTTTAATAATTAATTATGGGAAAAAAATTAACACGGAATTTAAAGAGTATGATGGGTTAATACTTTGTTGAAACTTATATAACATAGTAACATACATGATACAATAAAGAATACAAATACAAAAAACCGTATGTTGTATTAAGCTATCCTTAAAATACAAATAATATTTTTAACAATACATTATCATGATAACATGTTAATTATAACTAATGCATAATTATATTGTTTAATACATTTTTAAAATTAATATTATATTATTGTGTGGTTAATACAATAGTATTGGAGTAAATAACAATATTGAAATAAAAACTTATTTGTTTTAAAAATTGTTAACAATAAATAATAACTTTTAGCTATTGTGCTTCAAATTTGGTTATTATTAGATAGGATTGTATACATACATACATAGCCAAATAAATTTACTAAACACGGTAAAGGAATTCTTTTGTAAATTTTATATAAAATAACCTTTTTTTATTTGTAAAAATGAAAGTGGCTCAATGATATATTATTATGATTATAATTATAGGTACATGTAAAATTGAGCGAAATAAAATATGATCATATATTTAGTTATTAAAAGTGAAGTGTTAATTTATATATTGGTCATTTATGTTAAAGATCAGTCATTTAAAATAATATAATATAATGCAGTGGATAACATTGGAAGACTTTAGGAGCTGTGATATTCCAAGCTGTGGCTGGAGATTCTTACTTGTTAAATATAATTTTAGATTTCTTTTTTTTTTTTCAAATAAAGCCAAAATATACTAAATACACACATTTTCTATTAAGACACTTAAAGGTATATATAAGGTGTTTTGTAAGTTTGGAAATTTCAACTGACTAAAACCTGTCCAAACTAATTGAACACCTTCCATTTATAAAAAAAGTTAAGATACTGTATAAATAGGGGTATTGAATATAATATCCAGAAATGTTACTCGAGTACATTTTTGGTCCCAAAAGCATTTCAGATACTTAAAGAAAAAAAAATGCAGCAACTAACCATAGACCAATGAATTAACCAAAACTAAGCATGTGAACACAAGAATATTTGTATAATTTTAATAAGCAGATATCAAAGCTTATTTATTTTGAGACCATTAGAATTAAACTTGAAAGATTTTATTAAAATTATTATCTAATCTGATCAAATTATAATTTTACTACAATCTGACAAATAAATAATAAACAAATTTTTTGCTAAAATTTAAATTTTTGGTTTTTTTAATCACTTGGGTATTTCTAATATTGTTAGTATGTTGAGCATACTTTACGTTAGTAGACCAAAAACGTAAATTACAATTCACATTATTTATCATGCAGTTAAGGGTAGTCCCGGTGTTGATGGAGTTGTACTACGCTGTCGTCTTTTAATAATCCACGGAAGCAAACAACATTGAACTATGGCCATCAAAATACCAACCAATGTGGTAATCAGACCAGAAAAGATCAGCAGGAACTTATATTGATACGCGTCTGCTCCTGGCTTCAATTGAACCAGACCAACAATCAAAAGTATTGCTCCGATAAGTATGGTAACAACAGCTATGTGCAACACAGATATCTAAACACATAAAAAAATAATTAGAAAAACCACACGTGTTACTAATTATGTTTTCTTAGGATTGCTTATTAAAAAAATACCTCTGCTTCCAAAATCGATACAACATCAAAGACACTAGTTCATGCAGAATTTATACCCTGGTAAACAAAAAATAATATAAAAATGCAAAAACAAATACCTAAGCACAAAATAATAATAATAATAAATAATACATACAATGACAAATGATAATAGCTAACAAAATAAACATAGATTACTTTCCAAACTACAGATTAAATAATGGTACTAATAACGATGACAAAAATAAAATAGAGTTCAATTTTATTTATACATATATACTTGATTCGTTCAATCGCATGCAACTTTTCAAAATAACATTTAAAAGAATATACCGTCATTCACATAATATTATACCTCAATTTAATAATATATTATATAACAAATAATTTAGATAACACTAATCAATTGCAATTTATATGTATTGGGTATAAATATTTGAATAAATCTTGTTACAGTTAAATTAATTTATTAACTAACATACCGATATAGACTAAACAGCAAATATCAGCTTACCTTTGAGCAGACATAAATATCCGGCAGTGTATTTTGTACATATGGTGGAGACGTTATTGGTGTACCAGTTTGTGAGTGGGGTGACTGCAGTGTCAAAAGACTAGGTCTCCGATTTCCCGTTGTAGTATTAGAGGTACTTTCTCGGTCACCCGCATTTAGATTATTCACGCTCACTACTTTTTTTTCTTGCCGTCGCCGTTCATGGCGTACGGCTACCGCAGGCATTGCTCCAATCATGGTTATTTCGTCTGAATATTTTTATAAAATTATTAGCCATATCAATATAATTAAGTAGACAATTGTTTTTAAGAGATAAATGAACTTGTGTTTGAATTCTATTAAAATTTCAAAATAGAATGTAATATAATATAATTTTATTTTACCCACATTTAAATAAGCATATACATTAAAAATTTTAATTATACTATGAGTGCTATTTATTGGTTTTAAACTTCATACAATTTGAATAACTCAAATTCGCATTATTTGTCAAAGGTATTATTATAGATTTTTCATTTTATCTCATTTATTATGAATAATATTTAAATTATAATAATTTTATGTACCATGTGCATACTCATGATCTTTAAGAAAATAACTGATTATCACCTTACTACAAATGAACGTACAGGGGAAACACCTCCTAATTTTAATATATTAACTATTTTATCAAAACAAATAGTTATACATTTCTTTGTAAAGTATTTAAGGTCCATTTAAAAAAAAAAAAACTATTTGCCAGTGTATCAAATGGAAATAATATAATTTAAAATGATTTGAATATTTTATATTCTTTCATATTATAGTTTTACAACTTAAACATTTAAATATGATACAAAGACAAGTGTGGTGTAAATGTATCTTATAGATAAAATTATAACTAATGTATGGTTTGTGAACAACTAAAATATTTTAGTTTTACTTTTAGAAGGATTATTGAGCCAGGATAACATAATAAATAAGATTAATAGTTATTTATCATCAATCTATTTTGAATATTGAAATTTTTATAATAATATTAATTTAAAATACGCACCAAAGCTTAAAAATGAAGTAAGCAAATATAATTTTAAAAAAATCATACTTTTATAACTGTATATCATGTAAATATTATATTTATTACAATTAGCTATCATAATAAATAAATACTTTATATAAATAATAATTAAAATATAATTTTAATGCACTTTAAAATACTAAAAATGTGTAAATATCTAACTATACTATCTACTTGAAATAAAATAATTATTTAATGTCAATAATATTTGTTAAAATTTTAATTATTTATTAACTTAGGTATAAAAGACAAAAAATCACAGTGCAAGTATTAACTTTGTAGATCAAGAAAATTTAAATTAAATCCATATGGTATTCATGAACACGGCAAGGCAGGTATTGAAACATAATTGGACATTAAAAGTAATTTTAAAGTATAGAAATAATGCACAATTGTTATTTTGCCTAAAGTCAAAGTATAATTTAGAAAAACATAATAAACTTTAAAATGGTTATCATTGATCCCCGTAGTAAAATGTTTAGTTTTGTTTTGTTGAGCAAGAAATGTTATGTTTCATGATTGCAAATATTCTGTTTAAACTAAACATAATATTACATAAGTTTATTTTTTCAGTCTTCCAAAAGAATTTTCACACCAAATTTGTAATAGATATTACATTCTTCTACAAATTTTAGAGTTAAATGTAGTATTATTTATGATACTTAAAATGATAATACTATAAATGCGTCTAAACAATAATAGAAACAATAATTATAACAATAATATTAATAATAGTAATAATGATAATAACAAAAAAACTAAAAAATAATCAGATGTACATTTTTTTATATAATAAATGAAATTATGGCACTATTATTAAGTAAATCATTTTGGGGTCATCTATATATAAAATTATATCAAATTTCAAAAAGTAATAAGAAATTAGTAAAGTAATAAGAAGAATATAGATCGTAAAATGAGCTAATGATGTATTAAACATAAATTTAATTTTGTACAGCTCAGAGATTTGCGTGCTTTAATAGTTATAATAGAAAATAATTTATAAAAATGAATAGATTATTAGTATAAAAATAACAAATCACCAGTACAAAATATAAATTTGTCCTATAGTAATTCAAGATACTAATATTTTCTAATTGTATTCATGAACAAGAATAATATATGTATTACATAGATATAAGTAAATTAAGTTAAAATTTAAAAATTATGCTTTAAATGTGAGTTAATTTCATTTATTGAAATTGTATTAATATATTTTTGAAGTATACATTAATAGTTAATAAAATTGTATTAAAAATTAGAAATGACTACGTTTCTGTAGTGTCGTAACATCGTGATGTCATCAAATCCCTGTTTTGTTCATAATTCATTCTGTTTGAATTAGGTCTGTCCATCATTGAATCCTCGTGCTGGTTAATAGGTGTATAATTGGAGCATGATGCTTCTTCTTCAACGATCTGCCCTAGGTCAGACCCTGGAGAATTGTCCTCTGAAATCTGCCCTTGTTGTCTTGCTCTTTGTTGTTGTTTAGTATGCATAGCTCCTGTCTCAGCATCAGCAACTAGTCTTCTACCCGATCGTGTCCTTGTTAATTGTCGTTCTACATATGCAGCCAAATCATCTTCTGCTTTGCGATAGATGAAATGATTTAACGTGATTAAAAATAAACCAATTATACAAGAGGTAACACCAGTCACAACAAGTTCATTCAGCCAATTTTTTGGATTCCATGAAACATAGTCGTCCGGTACGATACCGGAGCCTATCAAAAAGAGACCAAGTACTAAAAATACAACACCAACATGTAGCATGCCAATACTGGAAGCGACTTTAGTGTCGAGCATTTTAGGTGGCTTCTTTCTACTACTTCTTCGGTTTTGCGAGAAACTTCCATTATAATCTGTAGGACTATTGACTGTAGACTTGGAATCATGAATGCCGCTTTCTACCGACTGAGAACTCAAACGGCGTCTTTCCATATGTCGTTTGAGTTCAGCACGTCGTTTTCGCTGACGTCGTATGGCCAAGGCCGATTGCAATCCAAAACTGTGCATTCTAAACAAAAATGTAATAAATAAATAAAAATAGAAATAAGTAATGTCCAAATTTTATACTAAAGCAATAACTAATAATATTCATCACAACAACGTTATCTAATAAACAAAAATAAAAAAATTACTTACTTATATTAAAAACGGAAATCTCGAGAGGGGAAGTAAATATTCGTATAATATATTATATTATAACACCAAAGAGAAAATCGTTTTAGCGACGTTTTCCGGCGTGATTATTAATTTTAAAGCAACGCGTGCGACGCAATTTAAATGTAATGGTAAACTACACGCTAGAAATATTGCAATAAAAAAAAAACATATTCAACAAGATATGCGTAAATATAGTAGTAAACAACGTAAGAACTGCATGAAGCAATAAAGGGTAGTAGTGAGAAGTGTGGAGTTATAGTATTGATCTGCACCGTAAAAACCATCGGTTACCATGACAACTCGTATGCAGCGAGTTTAAACGAGTGGTGCTTTGTAAAGGTTGGACTTTAGATAAGGAACATATGACTTCTTTATTTACAAGTACCCAATAATAAAATAAAAATATATTATCAATTTTATACGTATACATTTATTATTCACCCTGTTCAATTCCTACAATGGCGACACGATTAATAAATAAAATAACGCCAATACGCGTTTTCATTACAACGGCAACACAATACATACAGAACAGTTCTTAGTACTTTTGTATAAAAAAAAAATGATATAAAACCGCTGCCGCCTCCTTATAAATTAACCCCAATAATAAAAAAATACAAGTATATTCAAGAAGTCTAGTATTTCTGTAATCGCTATACAGACGAAATATTATATTCTAAGGGTTATAGTTCTTCGAGTAATAAATTAATATGCGAGAGCCGTGTAGATCCTAAACACACCCACAGCTAATGTTGATGATAACTCGAATTGAGCCATACTTTAAGACCCGTACGAGAACGTAAAGAAATTACTTCAACAAAATGTACCTTAAAGTAAACTTTTTTTTTAATCGAAAGTTCGATTGAGTTTGGCACGCTCGAACGAGCACGTTCATTAATACTTTACTGGCGCCGACCGCTAATGATGGATTGAAAACGCAGTCATGTATTCAAAGGGCGTGGTTACACGGGTTGCTGTTGCTCATAATATATATGTTATGCACTTACACAATTTAAATGTTAATACTAAGTACACACAACACACCCCTCAAGTTTACCGTTTACGCGTTTTAACTACACAACTGATTGCCAACGAAATTGTACAAAAATCGTGTGTCCGATTTACCTACACCAAACATTAAGCTATACACACAAATGTAGTCCCCCCGATTTTCAAAAATAAAAAAATAAATACATTCGTCTTTGGAAGAGGCATACATTTTGTCTAAGTATTAAAAAAGGACCCTCCTTGGACTTTTTTATAATCTACCCCCCCCCCCCGGGTTTAAACAACCATCTTGTCTACACGACTGCATTTGGTAAAACACATCAGTTTGACCCACATAAACTTTTGAAGTTGAATTTTGCTATACGTGTTGCATTCCCGTGGTTGTAAAGAAATGTCAGAAGTCACGCGACAGTCGAGCCAATACTTAATATAAATTCCAGAGTTTGGGTGGCACAGAAGGAATTTCAAAATTGTTCACCCATAAAATATACTGAACGTACCGCCATCCAAAGATCATTAATCAATTTTGTACAGATAGTACTTTAAACGGATGCAAAGAAATGGAATTCCTCTACAATTTTTTTTCGAAAAAAAATGTACGCTTCTGGATTAATAATTGTTTATAAAATCTGATTAAAATCAATAAATTATCCATAATGCACAAATTTAAAGTTATAATTTGAGTCCCATTAATTCAATAAGTCTAATTTACAAGTGTTAAGAAATATTTACACACGCGCTAAAAATAAAGTATTGGTAAAACAACAATTTGACAAACCCCACAATATTTATCTGTATAGGTAGAATACCTAAATTTAAAAGCAGGTATCCCGTATATAGCCGGTTACCCTTTCGAAATTATATTGCCAAAGACAAAACGACACCACTCTTCACAATAGACACAAACATTTCGATTTCATACATTTCCAGCATATCTTACCAGAATTAATTGTGATAAAACTAAGCGTGGTTTAACGTTTTGTATCATAATATCTAATAATTAAATAATATGATTACTTAATAATAAAAAAAAAAAAATGTACATAAGCCCGACAAAAAGGTCGTATAATAATTTAGACTATTACGCTATACAGGACACGGGTTTCCAAAAATAATTTTTATGGTCACTCGGTGAAAGTTATTTATTGAATTTCGTACCATGCGAAATTCTTTAAATTTAAAAGGCCGCTGTATAATATAATAAAACCAGTCATAAAAAAACGTATATAGTGGCCATTTTTCACAAATATTTAACTGAATTCACACAAAGCTGAACACATTTTATAGCAACAGAATTTAAAAAATGTACGATTTGACATTAAACTGACAAGTTAGAACAAATAAAGCTTTATTGGGCTTACAATAATATAATAATATGTAGATCGTAGTTATTTATAAGTTAAGTCTTTTTTTTTCTTTATATTTGTTATCACAAAAACTTTTTAAATACTGGGCCAAATTCTTCAAACCTGCATACATAGTATTAAAATATAGTAACAGTAAAATTGTTTAACATATTGTAAACCAATATATCTAAAATCATAATTCATAAGAAACAAACAGAAATCACTGGTTTTTGGCCTTTTTTTATACATCAGATTCAACTAATTCTTTTATATTTATTTTTCGATAGTTACCTTTAACTTTTTTTGAACAAATCAAACTAGTAAAAACGTCATGTGTTTTAACATGTTGCTTATTTGTCTTGATTCATTTATAACTAGTCCTAGAACCATTTCAAGATAAAACGAATTTGTAGTTTTCGTAATATTCGTATTATATGTATTATTTTTGTCTACTTAAATTTGAATTTTGTAGCTTAATAGTTACACGTGTTAGTAAGTGCAACACGTGCAACACAAAATATTTTAAAAATTTTAAAAACTTATCACGATCATTTTGCAATATATTAGAGTAAAAATATTTAAAGATCGGTTGCAGGGTAAAGGGAGAAAGTTTGTTTAAGATACTTACTTCAACATAATTCGTAGAATCATTGAAAATATTAAAAACTCCATAGAACACAGTCGGTACAAAATTCTAAGAAATGTTAATCGTATTTTATAAGTAATAAAATAATATAAAATTTGAAATAAATAGAGATTGACTTTTTTTCTGTACCTGAATGTTTTAAATACCAATCTTGGATTTAATTACTAATTTATTGCTACTACTATTTATATTAATAGAATAAGTACAACAACTTAGATGTATGTTTTTGTCCTCATAAAAACTATGAAAATTTCTATTTATGTAAAATATCCTTTTTACCTTTAAATTACTTCAAATTATTTTTGTTTTATATAAATATATATTTTAGTTAAAATTGATTTTACTGGAAAAACGATAATGTCTCGTAGGATGACCAAGCCGTAATTTCAGCTAAAGCTTTATAAGTTTTTCTCGTTTTTGGTAACTAAATACAAAAATTGGGGTTCTATGTAGACTGTAGGAAGTTTTCCCCTTATAATACATTATTTTCTTAAAGTCTGATAACTCTAAAGGGTGTCATCATTTTCTCGTAAGAACTAAGGCATGAGCGGAGCCAAAAACTTAAGTACAAATTTTAAAGCTAGATTCTAGATTATAAGGGTTTACAAAAAATATTAACAGTGTGAATGGTTAGGTGACTATTATTAATGTAAGAAAAAGTTGTGTGGCTAAATAATTTAATATTTATACACTTAATCTATTTTATTGATACATGTAAACAAATTTATAATATTATATTAATTTTCTTACCCTTAATTTATAATATTCTTACAATCTTATCTAACCCATGAATTAAATAATTTACAAGACTGTTTTAAAACTAAACCCTTATGCTTTAATTAATTTTAAAACATACAATGTTCTAATATAATACATTCTATATTTACTGTTTATTATTTCTCTACGCTAGCTAGAAAAGTATAACTTGTGCCAATAAAAAAATAAATATTGATAATATATAAACAGCATCATGATACAACTTATTATTCTACATTCTACTTGGACCTATATCTATATTCAGCCTAAGAGCACAATAATACGTACCTACGTAAAAGTTTGTTAATAATTCACCTAGATTGTAAAATTACACTACTAGAAATTTTAAACCCCTTATGATTCTATGACATTCAAACATTTAAAGATATCTAGTCAGGATACATAATATTATTAAGACCACTTACGTAATTTGGTGTTGCGGTAAGAGCCTCCTTGCAACAGATACTGAAGTTGCAATCCCGGCTTGTGTTTAACGGTATGCATACACCCTGAAAACATTTTCGAGTGAGTGAATCGGTTGATTAAGTAGATAAACAGCATTTAATGCCCTGTCATCTGTCATTAACGGCGATCTCTACATTAAGGTAGGAATCCGTCCGACAAAATGTTTTAAAATATCAACAATTACTTAATTTATACCATTTAAGGATCTTTACATTGGTGTTTCGCCTGAATATCACTCTAACGCTGACGTCGCTGTGCCCCCTAAAGAACATTCTTCCAAAGAGTAAGTACCGAACATTAGAGGAGAAAGTTACAGAAGAAACAATCCCCTTACCCCTCTCCTAGTCGATTAAGTAGAGGACCTTTATAAATAGTTAACTCACCGTTTACTAGGATCTTGTAAAAGTAATCAAACTAGGTAGGTACTAGCTGTAACTCCAGTAGCTAGATACCACACTCCATTCTGAAGACGATGTTCTCATGATTCATACTGTTGCAAAGTCATGGTAGAAGACGCTGAGTAATGATCATTAGACCCGAGACACGGTGAAATGTTAAAAATTAACAATTCGACTAGAAATGTACTTGTTGGAGTACAGAAAACGTCCCATGGATCAATTTGAGTCGCTAGGTTTAGCGCTGGCTAAGTAGTTGTGTATATTCGTTGGCTTTATCAGTACACAACATTACTATTCAGAGCTGCTGTACGATAGTGAGATTCGGCCTTACGAGTTACGGTAATTACCGTACCGTATAACCAGGCAGCCGTTGACAGTGACGTCATACGGAAGTGAACGTATTTTCAATATTTGTGTGCTCATAAGTGTTATCAAAAAATGGCTTTTGTTTTCGAAAACACAAAAGAGAAGCGTTATCAGTTATTTCTATCTTCTCCTGAAATTGTTCGTGAATCATAATCGTAAATTTGTTTTTTTGTCGCAAATAGGCTGTTTTCTTTTATTTTTTTCCTACTAATAATATTTACAATAGGTGCCTAGTTATTTACATTCTGCGTAACCTATTTTGAAGACAAATTTCACTCTCAATCCTAATTGCTACTAAACGTGTCACCGTACTCTCCAGTTACACTACACATTTTATTCTAGAATCTAGGAATCTAGAATCTACTTACCTGTGAATCTGTTCAACTTTTAGCTGTGTATAATTTATTAACATTAGTGTGTTTGAAAAATGATTGGCGTTGTGTTACTTTTACTACGGAAATAGTATTCAACAACGAGAATTAAAATGAACGTGCCATACATAAATGACACCTTTAACATCAACGGTAAGTACGCCTCGGTTAAGTTGTGAATAACAATGAATAATAATTTATACCACGTTATATATTCATTGTATGGTGGAAGGTTTAAGCAATATACAGTTAAAGATGTACATCACAGATTGAATTTAAGAAATATGTTTGTACTTATATACTTCAGTTTACATTTTGTTTAACTGTAGATACTACATTATAAAAACAAATTCATTATAAAAAAAATGTATTTATCATTGTTTACTGATTCCAACTATTTAATTAAAACATAATATTTAGTTTTTGGTTTAAAATCAAATTTTCATTATAAAGTTATCGCAAGAATATGTTACCTTAGATACAATTTGGGAGAAGAATATTAGGCGTGTTTATATATGCATTAATTTATTTTAAAAATAAAAAATTTAGTTGTATGGTTTTGCTTGTAGGCAATGTTTTGCATTTATGTTAAACTTTGTCTCACTAAAATAGTAATATAACATATCTTACTATTCACCATTCGCTGTAATTGTAATATTTCAATTCATACAATAAATTTGTCTATATATTCTACAATAACAAATTTTAAAAGACAAACCTCTTAACTTAGCAGTTTTAATTTTTTTAAATATTTTAAGTATATCAGAAAATAATTATTCCGCTCTTATTGAGAACTTAAATTAATAAACAAGAGTTAATATTATTTATCTGAACTAAAATGTATTCTTTTAAACAGAAAATTTCAACCAAGTTTTTTCATTTGACCGAGCTCTAAAAAACTAAATGATAAAAATAAAAAAGTCTACATTGCAACAAAGTTCATAGAAATGTGCGTAATGCAAATTACAGTAACTTTTCAGGGCAGCAGAATGTTTTAAAATACAATTTGCTTTGTTATGTGATTACTGATTAATATGATTGCAATTTTTTTTTCTACCAATCTAACTATTAAGTATATAGTAGTTCTACTCAAAAGTTTGTGATAAAAAGAAGAAGAAAAAAAAATATATATATTTATATATTGAAATATACTTTTTAAAAAATAAAATAAAAAAGTTATTATATTGTATGGTTTATATTTGATTTGTAATTATTTTCTGTAAATTTTATTTGAATGTGTTGATTAATTACAGTTAATTTGTTTTTAGAGCTGTCAACAGAACAACAAAAGTTGCTAATAGAAATTAGGAGACGTAAAGCTGAACTATTACTAGAAATACAGGTTTGTTTGTACAAGTATACATATTATGTATTCATAAGTAAATTTATTGGATAAATACTAAGTACCGTGATCTATTCAATGACTTATTCATTTGACCTTGAAAATTAAAAACAAATAATTATAAAGTGAGTATAATTTAAATGCCCTTGAAGATAAATGTCCAGCATTTAAAATTGTATGATAAATTGCAATGGTTAAAATACTTCTAAAAAACAGATTTTATAATACAAAAATATATTGACTAAATTAAATACATTATTATTACTTAATATGAGCTTTAGTAATTATTGTTAATTAAAATAACTAGGTTTTCTGTCATTTCATTATTGATTTATATTTTAATGGTGAAAATTGACACACTATAATTTATTGTGATAGAATACATTTTAAATAATATCTAAGTAATGTTTACATTAAATATAATTATTAATTAATAGTTGTAAAACATAACTATGAGATAAATCTTTATCTTCATTACGGAATTACAGTACGCATATCATTATATTTACTAATAAAAAAAGTATTTTACAACACTTATGTTTAAGATAAAGATAAAAACATCTTAAACGTTTTTACAAATAATTATTATAATGTTAAGCATAATATTGTCACCTTTGAAAAAATCACACAATATAATTAATTAAATAAATAGTTTTTAACTAAAATATTATATTAATTTATGTTGTCTTTATTATCTCTTATATGCAAAACTGTGAGAATATGTGGTATGCCGTGCTGCATAGTTAGCGTGCCCCTAAGGGTTAACTCATGTATATTATTTGTAATACCATAGATTAAATAATACTATAGATAAATAACGGCAATGGGCAAATTGGAAACCAGAAGTTTAACTTAAAATACAAATAATAGATGGCGTAAAATATTTCGGGTGAAGAGTAATAATAATCGGCCGCCGTAAAACCGGTTTTGGTAGTTTATTTTGATAACGACATAGGTAAATAATGATATAATATTGCCTTCAATTCTTTACCTACTCGAAATCAATAGATACTAATCTAGTGAAGTTTGCTAAAATTTTTGAGTTTTCTCTATTTTATTATATTTTTCTGGAGTTATAGTATTGAATCATAATTCATAGCGAAATGTCTACTGCAAAGAGAGGCAATAAATATGTGTATTTTCATTGCAGAAAATCGCCAAGAGATCACCCAAATTTGAGTTTATTTAAATTCCCGAAAGATGTAAATCTTATTAATAAAATTAATTTACATTGCATTAATTTAAAACCAGCAATACTTATTTGAACAATAATTGCACTTTTTCATTAATTACAACAACAGCCAGTGTAAATGCTATAATATTAACTAGTATACTAGTAACTATATTATAATAAATGCTTATTACATAAAATCATGCTTTTAACTTTCTTTAATTATTTCGATTTTCGATGTAATAGTATACTATAGTGTAAAGATTGAAAATAAAATAGTATTATATTTTTATTACTGTTAGACAAATATCAGATAACAGATGTTAGATTACACTGATAATGCTCATTTTCTCGTGGAATAATACAATTTAAATATTTTCTTCCATGAAATACGCCTCTATAATGACTAGTGAGCCAAATCCATACTAAAATTTTTGAAATCCAAATAGCCAAAATCAGGAGCTTCCAATATTAACACGAGCGTTGTTTATCTATAGTATTATTTAATCTATGGTAATACTTACAAAATACTTTACATATTATACAATTTTTTTTTTTTTTAATTTAGCAATTAAAAGATGAATTATCAGAGGTCGTTGGGGAAATGGAAAATATGGATAACAATGATGATAGGTAAATTGTTTATAAAATTATATATGTATTTTTTATATTTTATAATGATTAAATTTTAATTTAAGATTATATATTATTTGTTGTAGTAAAAACCAAACCAAAGCTAAGCAGTTATCTATTGGTCGGAAAAAATTCAATATGGATCCTAAGAAAGGAATAGAGTTTCTTGTCGAACACGGACTACTAAACCACAATGAAGCTGATGTGGCTGCTTTCCTTTATAAAGGGGAAGGTCTGAACAAAACTGCAATTGGAGATTACTTAGGAGAGCGAAACGATTTCAATGAAAGTGTATTAAGGGAGTTTGTTTCTCTACACAATTTTACTGATCTCATATTAGTTCAAGCTCTCAGGTAAATATTACCTGAGATATAAATCTATAAAAATTGTTGTGTAACACAATACAAACAAATTTCAATGTTCCAGTTTATTTTTAAATTGTATTATGAATGTATTGTTGTATCTTAAATATGATTAAATGTGTTTACACTGTATATATTTTTTAGGCAATTTTTATGGAGTTTTAGACTTCCCGGTGAGGCGCAAAAGATTGATAGAATGATGGAGTGCTTCGCTGAAAGATATTGTCAATTAAATCCAAATATTTTTACTAACACAGGTAAAACGTATTACAAATGTCATTGTGTTTCAAATGAGCAACTATTTTATTAGCCATATAGATTTACTCAATATATTTTTTATCTTTTTACAGATACTTGTTACGTCTTGTCATTCGCCATCATAATGTTAAATACAAGTCTACATAATCCTAGCGTCAAAGACAAACCATCGGTAGAACAGTTTATACAAATGAATCGAGGCATCAACAATGGTGGTGATCTTCCTCGAGAACTTTTAATTGTTTGTATTTCAAATTTTTATTGGTAATGGAATCTATTTTTAATTATTAAAATATTTGTTTTATAGAGTTTGTATGAAAGTATAAAAACCGAACCTTTTAAAATTCCTGAAGATGACGGAAACGACTTAATGCATACATTCTTCAATCCAGATAAGGAAGGCTGGTTATGGAAACAAGGTAATAATTATAAATTGAATTATATTTTATTATTAATGCAATATTTAAATTAATATATTAATATACCTTTTTAGGTGGTCGTTATAAGAGTTGGAAACGTCGATGGTTTATTTTGAATGACAATTGTCTTTACTATTTTGAATATACAACTGACAAAGAGCCTCGTGGTATTATTCCATTAGAAAACATTGAAGTAAGAGAAGTATCAGATCGGCATAAGCCTCACTGTTTTGAACTTTACGCAGCTCCAGGAACGACAGATTTCATTAAAGCTTGTAAAACTGATAGTGAAGGAAAAGTTGTAGAAGGTAAGATATAATTAATGTAATATACTTTTTTGTCAAGATTGGCCTGACCATATATTATTTTGTGTTAGGTAAACATACGGTTTATAGAATGTCAGCTGCAACAGCTGAGGAAAAGGATGAGTGGACAAAATGTTTAACGTAAGTAAATATGATGGAAATATGCAATATTTAATATAATAACAGAATGATTTTATGAAAAAACTAACTACATATGGTTTTTCTTATCAGGCAAAGTATTAGCCACAATCCGTTTTATGACATGTTAGCTGCTCGTAAAAAGAAAGCTCAAAAAAGCAATGTACATGGCCGTAGCTAGCGTGATTTACTTCATCGTTTTAAGCAGTATTTGGTAATTAATAATAATTATAATACTGTTTTCGTGTTAATATCTAATTTTTTTTACCATTTTCTACCAAGTCAACTATCTGCCAATAAATAGTCGTATATGGTCCGTTTCACACCAGTTCTGATTTGTCGGGTTTAAAAATTCAAGACTATTTTCATTATATTCTTTGGTCCTAAATTTATACACAATGTATGAAAAAACACATACCATATGCTTAAGGTGTGAAACAGGCTTTATGTTAATTTGTGTTATACTCGTTTTGTACTAATGCTTGTATAAATCAGTTATTTTTCATTGGAAAATTTGGATTCTTAAATTTCATTTAAATCAAATTTAAATTACCAATAATATAATTGTATTGTTTATTTAATAGGTTGTATTAACCTATTAAAACCACAATATGTTATCTACTAAAAACATTAATTTGTCAATTTAAATATTTAAATATTTATCAAAGTGAAGGTTGACATTAAAGACAATTATTTTACATGACTTTTTATTCTTGTAATTTATTTGTTCTAGTGTTCATTAATGTATTATGTTTGGACAAGAAAATCTGCTAAAATTTAATAAACAGTATCGAGATAATGAAATAATGCCTTATCAAAATTAACTACCCTGTCATTTGGATCAAAAGGATGTCGTGTGATTGAACAATAATCAATTACTTTAGTTGATTAGCACGTTTTTTTTTTACATAATATATTATACAGCATACTTCTTTGTATCACCAAATTACTACCATCTATGTGAAATGTTTATTGTTTTTATAACATAGTTCAAATTTATTTTACTACTATCTAATCAGTATAATATTAAAATTTTATAGTTATTTTTTTATAATATGTTATCTAGTCCCAAAATTATACATAATTATTTTTTTAATATTTACTTTATGCATTGCTTTGGTGAAAATTCTTGTAAATATTATATTTTTTAAATAAATGTTTTTGTTTAAAATCAAATAAAAATGTTTGATTTTACTTGTCTTTTTCAGTGTTTATAAGTTTTAAAATATATCAAGAAAAATGCAATCGGATGACATAACTAGAAAAAATGTTTGAAAGGTGTTGGATTATTAAACATTTCTGAAAAAGTTAAATTACCACTTACAAAGCTATATATTTTTTTTTAATTTAGCGCTTCCTAATGGAATTTGTGTTTTAACGGATTGAGATTGTAGACAGTTACCAATTTAACATTAACAGGGTTTATAAAACATCAAATAAAAGCAAAGAGGTATTAAACATTTTACGCCTCTAGGCAAAAGGCATTTAAAAATGTATTATTATTTAAATACATAATTCGATTGTAAAAAAAAAGTTATTAGTAGAATTTTCCATCTTCTTTTATAATACTGCAATAGTTACTGTCCTATTAAAATATAATAAAAATGTTCACAATTTTTTTGTATTATACAATTATACTTTGTTCTCTGGAATTGTGGAATGTTGCCCGCCTATGAAGTCGTCGCTCTATTACTGTAATTATAATTTTTTGCTTTTAAGTGGTAATTTTTTTTTTTGGGGGGGGGGAGGTGGTCATAAGTTAGGCTTCAAATTAAAAACAAAGAATATAATATAGGTAATATTATATTATGTATTTATAATTACTATTAACTCCTTACCGATTTCTGAGCTTTAAAACTATTTTTTTTTTAATTTAAAATTACTGACCACATTCCCCCTCACCGGGCCTCACGCATTTTATATAAAAAATAAAGATTGTCATAACCCTTTCGCAATTCACAGTGTAACAAAGTAAGTATAACAACTGTGTAAGAAATATGAGAGTCGAACACAATATATTTTGGCCAACATTTCTCTGCTCTCAACCAAGTTCGTCGCATAATCCACTGCGCATGCGCCGTAATAGTTGATAAAATGTATGAACAACGTAAATGGAGTAAGACTAAGAGTATGGAGTAAACGAATAAGTAAATGGATAAGACTTTAACTAAAGCTCGGCATGGTACGTGACACGAACTGGATTCAATTCCATTGATCATAATATTTGAATTTATATTAAGGATGCATATGAATATCGAAATGGTCACTTATTTGAAATTTAAAAATAATATACAAAAATATGTTACTGTGTAAATAATAATAAAAAAAAGTGTTTATAATTGTATGTTCTCAGATATATTGGTATTTATCGTTTGAGTATATTATATATACACACATTTACTGGCCATAGTGTGTATAAAAATATAAGCGTATAGATACAATGAGATTTTTTTGTCTGGAGTAGTCCTGTCAATAATTTTTGGTAACGCATCCTATATTTGACATTCCTTCGGCTACCACAGTCACTTATGTAGCTACATATATAGATCTAGTACAGAACATGCATATAATAATTAATATTATAATATAATTAATACTTACAATAGAATAATAATTGTTGGTGACCTTAGTAAAATTATTTAAAAAGCGCGGGCTGAATCATGGACGTTGTAAGCCAAAGATTTTCGAACCTCCCCGATATAAACACTGCGATGGCGTTGCGGGCGGATGAAGACGGCGAAAAATCGCGGTAGAGCGAGTGAGAGAAGAGATAGAACCGACGCGGTGCCCCGCGGTGACGTCATTCCCCCTCGCCCGTCAAAATGGCCGCACAATCGATCGTGCTTCCACCGACGAATACGTTTCTCTGTCTCAAACGTCCGCAAATAATGTCCAAATCCAGTGTCGACGCCGGCAAAACGGGTGTTTAGAACGGGCTGGACGTCTTCGCACCGGTCACCGGCGTTTCCAAAGGCATACGGTAAGCAAAACTAGCGGTTTCCCGCCATACATCGATGGGCAGGGTTGTGAAGGGCTTTTTTCCCATCTACCCACCTCCTTTGTCTCGACTGCCGCGGCGTACATTTTTCCCGTCTACACCCCTGCTAGCCCGGCGCTTTCCCTGCACGCCCGTCTCCCGACGGCTCACCCGTTCCACGGCGCTTACCCGAACGGCCCCGGGCCTGCCGTTATGCAATACGCCGCTCCAACGTTCGCCGAGGAAAATGTCCGGACGGCCGTACACGGCATCTATGCCGTACGCCATTTTGGTTCGGTAAAACTTGCCGATCGGCGTTGATACGCCGCGACCGCGGGCCCCCGCCCGTTAACGCCGATCCATCTATTGTAGGTCTAGCGTCCCGGTTTACCGGTTTATCATAATATATACCTATCAGGCACCTTGATAAATCTTGGCCACTTGTCTGGGGTTAATTTTCGGTAAAAAAGTCGTAAACGGCGGCGATCATAGTTGACGCCTAAGCCAAGCCGACCGCGTAGGTATTGATTTTTTCCCCTTACGGCGGTTGCCATAGCCAATTAACGTTTTTATGTCGGACACCCTCTCTGTCGTTTAGTCTCTCATCCATCGGATTGTCACGATATCTATAACGGCTATTGTTGTTTACTAAACCGCGGTAAATATGACGGGCATCACAGTGTTGTAACTTGTAAGTCGATTCGTTGTTATTTTTTGCCAGTAGTGTCAATACCTTTGTTCTAATGCGGGCTAAACTTTGCGATCCTGGCTTGCCACTGGGCCTCCGACTCCGGTAAATAATCAACCTACCTCTATTCTATGTAAACTTTGTTGTAGTAGTTGTTACTCGTACTTTGATCACTCGTATAACGTTTCCATTTGCATTTTTATGCTTTTTACTTTTAAGCTACTTACGCCAATACTTGATAGAGCACAACACATAAGGGCATCTGTAAAACAGAGTTCCTTTGTTTCAATACCTAACATTCGTCATTGCAATGCTTCTTAATTTTAAGTTGTCTTATTTTAGCTGTGAATTATAATCCATTTTTTTACGGTATTGTAGTATTAACTTACCTAGGCATAATATAATAAATATATATTGTTAAAAATGTACTTGTATATTTTTGTAAAGACATGTCTAGCGCATGGTTTGACCTTTCTGGTATAAAAACTTACCTAAATGTTTGATACCATATTTGATAAGTATGCTGTTTTGTTTTTCTAGATGTTTATTTAAAATTTTAAACAATAGTTTAAAAAAGACTTGATTTAATGATAAAATGTTAAATTTTCAAAACTATGAATAATTGATTTCTATAATTTAAAAACTATTGATTGTAATGTTTCTGAATAGTATGTTACAATATATTTTAGGAATATTTGTTAGTATGGCACAGTAGTCGGCCACAGTTGTTCACCGCTGTGATTGAGCTCGTCTGGTAATGATAGTTGTCATATAGATGGCATACACCCGGCTATTTTACCAATTTAGTCATGTCTTTAACCTAAATGTATAAAATCCATCTAAAGACCGTAGCAATTTAAGCAGTTAAAACAAAAAAATATAAATATAAAGCTAAGTATTAGGTTTATCAAATAAAGGATATAATATTATCTCTAAAATCTTTTCATCTTTCATTTTCGTTATAAGTATTATTGCTCTGAAATCATCATGGAGCGAGTAAAAAGATAGGTATGGCGTAGGTATAGCTTCCTCTTAACTGATATCCAATTGATAAAAACATACAGCATATTACATGGTATTCCTATTTATTCCTTGGCCCATGCGACATAGAAAAGAAATAAAAAATAAACTTTGGAGTATTTTTCTGTTTACCTTAAAGGATTTTCAGCTTATGATCTGTTTTGCTCAGATTAACATGACTGAAGTGCTGAAAGCTAGTGAACTAAGGGTCCCAATGCCACCAGAAAATATGAGCATAAACAGAGATCGAAGTGAACATCACCAGAATATGGACGGACCACCTCAACCCGCACATGCTCATTTTACCCCTCCGACTTCAGTGTCCGATCTTGAATTATTGCAGCATAGAGTCAATTGGGGTACGTTCAGTAAGTTATCCCAGTGTTTTCATTTAATTATTCAAGAATTGCATTGAAAAGTGTTTATTCTGTCTAGATATTCAACATAATGCTTATAATTTTTTTAAATATTTTAGGCGACCCTACAAAAGTATGCTCTAGTCTTATGTTACAACTTGGAGGAGCTGCAGCTGCTGTTGGCACAGGTCAAGGGGGATCATCTGGTAATAATCAGACTAATGGAAACAATGAACGCCGTACACACATCACGGGCTCCAGTCTCATGTTGCAACTTGGAGGAGCCGCAGTGGCTACTGCACCCAGTAGTGCAACTGGCGGTACTCAAATTACTGGTACAAGTGGTGAACGCAGAACACACATTACGGACTCTCCATTCCATTGCGACATTTGTGGGAAATATTTTTCTCGAAAAGATCATTTCAAGAACCACGTTATGTGGCATACAGGTGAAACGCCACATAGATGCGATTATTGTGCCAAAACTTTTACACGCAAAGAGCATTTAGTCAACCACGTCAGACAACATACCGGTATGTATATCGTATAGTCTTACTTTAGTTTTCTTTCTTTCGTTTTTTATTTTTTTTTTTTTTTTGCTTAAACATAATATATAGACATTAAGACGTCCATTATCTAAGTATATATATTTAATTTTTAGTTTAATTTAAAGAATAAGAGAGTAAGAAATGACTTCAATGTTTTTTAGTCTGATATTTAAAACTTCTGGTTATTGGTGTTTCATCTCTTAAAAGTTTTATTACAATATTTTTTTTAATTTCTTTTAAAATTTACAATAGGCGTTCTTTAGTTTCATTTATTTTATTATTTATTGCTATCAACCTTATTCTATTTAGAATAGTTTGAATTATTTTTGTTGTTTTTATTTATTTTCAGTTTTTGTTTATCATAACCATTTTGAAAAAAAATATATCATACATTTTTTCTGTTTATAACTTCTTAATTTAGTTGTCAGTGATTTATTGTTTTTCTTTTAATTTTTAATGCCAGAGTTTTTCTTCATGGGTCTTACTTTAAAATTTTGTGTAGAATTCAATTTTATGGAATCAGAATTGCACAACCCTTGGCATTGTTAAAATTTGTCTGTTATAGGTTTATATGATATTTTACAGATTTGATTGAGTACATAATATGACGAGATGCTTCATTTTATTATATAGATAAATGCAATGAAGTAATAAGTTTTCCTTGTCTTCTATTTTAGTATACTAATCGGATATTCAAACTTGCCAAGAAAATAAATATTGAAACATGAGAAATTACAATTTTTTATTTATTATTATATGCAAATAGTGCGGAATACAACGGGAAACCACCGCACCATAACTAGAGAGAATTAGTTGTTCAAACCGACCAAAAAAAAATATGCAAATTACTTTAATGGTTTTATTATTGGCTAATCATTTTAAGAATCATTGAAATTTGTATTTGTCTTTAATATTGAACAGATTTATTTTAATGATAAGTTTTGTTCTTATACAATTAATAATCAGTTTTATGTATCATATCTTGTATTCTCATTAACAATGAATGGTGGTTTGTATTACAATTTTTAGTTGTCAGAAATGTTCTCTATTCTAAATAATTTATGTTTTACATATACAATTTAATTTTGTATGGTTTTTTCTATAAATTACTCTAATACTTTTGCCTCAATTTTACATATCTTATTCTTGCCATTTACAGGTTAGATATGAACAAAAAATATATAATTTACTATAATTATAATTTCATTACCGCCATGAATATTAATTCTAGTACTTTTAAATCATGATGAATAATGCAATTGGTTGTTAAGATGTATTGTCTTCTAAAATGCTCGGAGAAATAAAAAATTTGTGTTGATGTATCTAAAATATTATATATTGCTTATAAATATTTTTGTATGAGTTAGTCTCATCATATTTTTGGATTCTTAAGTTTACAATATTTAAACCAAGGAAGTTTAAAACCTAGTCTGAAACTTTGTGGTATATCCTACGTTTTGAATTCCAATTGTGGTTTTATCTCTTGATTGTTAAAATTAATCAGTGTTGTTTTTATTTTGTAGTTTTGAGTTATTATTTTTCCTGATAGAATATATTAAGATTATTCTCGATTTATATGTTATGTTGACAAATGAAGACAAAAGATATTTGATGTGTTTCGTTTCCATTATTCTTAAACTTAAAATTAAATCTTAAACATGAATTGATTAAATATATATAATTAGTTTGTAGTTTTCAATTGCACTAGAGCGCTATATTTTGTTTGTTTTGTTAGTTATTATTAAGGTTATTATATGTTTTGAATTTTTTTCCTATGGCCATTTTAAATAAAAATTGTTGTTCTTTCTAACTCAATCTAACGATTGCACGATATTATAAGCCACTACAGTTGTGTTATCATACTAGAACATTATATGTTCATCGATTATAATATTGGAACCATCTAAGGCGTAACATAAGATAAAAATTGTAATTTGCATGTGTTTAGTACTAGCAACCTAATATTAATAATAATCTGGTTGTTTTCATATACCATCAATCGACGTGTAGAAATATTTAAAGAATAAATGCCAAACGGGTTTATGTATGGTGGATGCAGTCCACTCACAATTTGTTTGTGCTAATACAAATTGTGTTTATTTCATATTGATCAGTGACAATGGAGTTGATATAGTTTTTTTTCAAAAATATATATAAATCTGTTTTCTTGAATCTTTAAAGTATATGTAATATTGTTTTTTTAACTACCTAATTTTGCCTCTGATCGATCCAAGGGTTGTGTATCACCATGATGAAAATTTGTTTACAATTTTGATGTTTTTGATGTATTTACTACAGTAGTCTAGTTCTTTGAAAAATATGAATAATTTATAGGTGGTATACAAAACGCTGCCGAATATTCTATGAACATGGAGCCTGGTCCTTCTACTTATCGTAAGTTGTATTGCTCTTTAAGATAACATTTCTTCCCAGTTTTTTAATTTTTTTTTATTTTTCGTTTCATTGAGTTTCATATTCAGTTTTTTTTTATTATTTATTTTTTATGATTTATTTTATTTTTTGGTTGATAGTGTTAAACACGTTGTTTCATTTTTCGTTCAGCTGCCTGTTTGTTTTAATTTTTTTGTTTATTATAAGCGTATCCGACAAAAATGATGAACCCCTTATAGAAATTATACACAGATTTGGGTTCATTTATTTTTCATAAATGGTTAACTTTTGTTGTAAAAGTGAGCAAAGTGAAATTTGTCATTTGATATGTAGCCTTTATAATGTTGTGTGCGTGACAATGTTTGCCAAGTCCTGTCCTTCTAATATTATAATAGAACAAGCAAAATAGGTCTATATAAAGGTAGTATTTTACTAACAAAAGAAAAGTACTATTTAGGCGGTTAAAGTTATTCATATTAGCGCTCTAGTGTAATTGGTATATAGTGGACCAATAAAGTATAATTAGTGAAGTCTTCTGTCGAAGTTGTTAAAAAAAAAGTGTTAAATCACATACAAATTTATTTTCTAAGAAAACTGATCTAAAAGGAGTTTTTTGTCATTAGACATTTAGCTAATATGTTTATTGGTCCACTGTATAGGTGAAACTCCTCACCACTGCAATTACTGCCCAAAATCATTCACGCGTAAAGATCACATGGTTTACCACGAGCGTCAACACACAGGGGAAACGCCGTTCCCGTGCCAGTACTGTCCAAAGGCGTTCACGCGTAAGGATCACTTGGTCAACCATGTCAGGCGGCACACCGGCGAGTCACCACACAAATGCACTTACTGTTTAAAAGTGTTTACCAGAAAGGAGCATCTGACCAACCACATTCGCCAGCATACGGGTGAGTCACCACACCGATGTCACTTTTGTCCTAAAACCTTCACGCGTAAAGAACACCTTACTTGTCATATTCGTATTCACACAGGCGAGTCGCCGCATGCTTGTGAGTTCTGTAATCGTACTTTTACGCGCAAGGAACATCTGAAGCGCCACATGCGGCAACACATTCCAGGTTCTGAGTATAACTGTCTTATTTGCGACGAAACTATGCCCAGCAAGGAGCAATTGCTCGAACATATGGCTTCCCATCCACAAGATTACCCGTACGTATGTACGGACTGTGGCAAAGCTTTCAGGCTTAAAGGCAATCTTTTGTTTCATTTGCGTTCCCACCAAAAAGGTATGCCCATCGATCGTCCGTTTCAGTGTGATCTTTGCCCTAAAGATTTTATGTTCAAAGGCCATCTCGTTTCACACCGTCGCAGCCACACAAATCCAAAAGTCACTACTGCATTTCCAGCTACCATTCAAATTGTAGGGAACAATTCGTTTGTTATTAAAAATGCTAAAGAAGACGGCGAACTGGTTAACATCCATCAGTTGACCAATCAAACCGAACGAGCTATACAATATGATATGTCTCATAGGCGTGGTATTGATAAAAATTCTCATTTTCCCGCAACTATACAAATTAGTAGTAACGGCCAGTTCATACTCAAAGGTTTAGTTAAACAAGAATGCGATGGAACAGAGTTGATAACGTTACACCAACAACAGCAAGACGGAAACACTAGCATTCAGACTGCACAGTTAGTTAGTGTAGGAACGCAAGTCACCCTTCCGTCATCGCCACAAAATAACGCAGACCATATGACACCACATTCTAGAGCTAGTTTATTAGCTGCAGTAACGTAAATATAACAGAACTCTTAAAGTAACAGGGGCCGCTTGTGTTGTGTCGATACTCGAGACCAAATCCAACTGTTTATTACTCAATCCAAGTTTGGTGTTCTTTTTTCGCTGTTGATAGTAATTTTTTTAACATTTTGTCGACTATTTCATTGACCACTGATGATGAAATATTTGATTAGACTATATGTGTTTTAAAAATAATATGATATATATGTATATCTATTTTAAATGAACATATAAAATTATTAATATAAGATTAGGCAAGAGATTATGCAAAATTAACAAATTTATTCATTATATTGTCAGATACTTTTATAACTCACAGATATTGTGTATGAATGTTTTTTTTTTTCTTAGTATCTTTAGACATAAGTCTTTATTGTAAATAATTATTATTTATAAATAAATGAGAAGATTAATTGGTAGAGGTAACAACAGTAAACAACTTATTTATTTGAAACGATAGTTATTAAAATACTAAAATTATAGTTTAATGTAAATATTTAATTTGATGAATAAATAATTTTTATTATGTACAATATAAGTTCTATTTTAATTTTAAATACAGGTTTACTAATTTAGTATGACAGGATTATTGTGAATATTGTTTAGCCTTAATAATTTATTAACTTTTGTGATCGCACACAACATGCTTTTTTTATTTCCATAATCTTATGCCACGCAGAAATTCTATATTTAAACTCAGTATGTGTGTATGCTACTAAATGTATATCTGCATATATACATAGTATTAATAAATATATATGTACAATATACTATATGAACATTATATAGTTAAAAAAGTTTTACGAAGTTCTTATTATAGTTTTAAGTTAAAATTATATATGAATTATTATTCAGAATACTTTGTTTGAATTCTTATTTTGTGTGCCCATTTACGACTTGTAAACAGTTAGTTATATTTGATTAGGTTGAGTGAAAAAAAAGGATTATAACGATCGACTAATAATAAACTATTAACCATTTAATTAAATGAAGGGGTCCATATTTGTCGGTTACGCCTATGGACAATGGTTGGTACACTTAAAAAAAAAAAAAAAAAACTTTATCATGATCGATTTTTTGTGATGATTTAGTATAATAGAAAAGAGATGCTTAAAATATTTAATAACAATGAATACAAAATGTAATAAGTACATTGAGTATAAATTCTCGTAAGAGCAGTCTTGTTTTTAATATGACTTAACATGATTAAATTATTTATGGGAGTCCAGGAGTCGTAATTTTAGTAAAAAAAAAATCTAACAATACTTTTTGTAGGTGTGCCACTGTTGTCTAAAATATATTTTGTATGCAAATTTTTATTATTCTAACATCCTTTGGTTCCTTGAAAAACTGGTATAGTTGTGAATTGTTGCACAATTGTGCTAAATGTTAGTGTGGACCAAATCAAAACCCATTTAAACAATAATTATATTGTCAATATGTGTGTATACACATATGTAATATTATATGTATTGTGTATATACACATATTTTAATGTATGTATTGTGTTATGAACCAGAGAAATGAGAGAGTAAAAACTAAAAATTGTTCAATGACTCAATTAAAAGTGATTGGGTTATCTTATTAGTCTTAAGTGGGCACTAAAATAAGAATCGTTCTGAAAATAATTCTATTTAATTGAACTTTTTGTGTGTGCGTGTGTGTTGATTCATTGACATGGGTTTTTGTTTGGTCCACTGTGTAGGTGAAACACCTCACCACTGCAATTACTGCTCGAAATCATTCACGCGTAAAGATCACATGGTTTACCACGAGCGTCAACACACAGGAGAAACGCCGTTCCCGTGCCAGTACTGTCCAAAGGCATTCACACGTAAAGATCATCTGGTCAACCACATCAGGCGGCACACGGGCGAGTCGCCGCACAAATGTACTTTCTGCATGAAGTCATTTACTAGAAAAGAGAACCTGACCAACCACATCCGTCAGCACACTGGTGAGTCACCACACCGATGTCATTTTTGTCCTAAAACGTTTACGCGCAAAGAACATCTTACTTGTCATATTCGTATTCACACAGGCGAGTCGCCACACGCTTGCGAATTCTGTAATCGAACCTTTGCACGCAAAGAACATTTGAAACGTCACGTGCGCCAGCACGCGCCAGGGGCAGAGTACAATTGTATCATCTGCTCCGAGGTGTTCTCTGCCAAGGAACCATTGCTCGAACACATGTTGACCCATCCCCGCGATTGTCCGTACGTGTGCACCGACTGCGGCAAGGCATTCCGCCTCAAGGGCAACCTCCTGTTCCACCAGAGGTCCCATCAGAAGGGCATGCCGGCCGATCGTCCGTTCCGTTGTGATCTGTGCCCTAAGGATTTCATGTGCAAAGGGCACTTGGTGTCGCATCGGCGCAGTCACACTAACACTAAACAACAATTCCAATCTGGACAGTTTTCAAAAGACCATGGAACCAATGCCTCATTCATGTTGAAACATTTGATGAAGCAAGAAAATGTATCGGAAATGATCGGCCTGCATCAGCCCCATCCAATGCCCCAGCATTCTGTCAGCGTCGGCACACAAGTTGGGCTGCCCGTTCTTCCTCCGCCTCCAAATCTCCATCTTCCCCCACCAACCGCCGCTAGCCTCTTGGCCGCAGTCACGTAAATTTCTTGTAGTTCGAACACGACAAATTTATTATTTCCGATTCCGTTCTGTTTATTTTCATCATCATACAAATTTTATTTTATTTCTAATCCAATTCTCGTCATTAATTTTTATTTAGTTTTGTTTTTAAATTTTTATTTTATTATTGACTTGATTTTAGTATTTTATTTTCCCAAAACAATTATTTTGCTAAATGTATTGTTTTTATTTAAACATTTTATTGATTATTACTACATTTACAAAATGTATTTGATTTCTAATCACAAATTTGAGCAACGAACCCATTTCGTTTATTGTCTTGTATTTGTTGGCAGTTACAATGGCTTAATTTGTTATTACGTGCGCGCAAATAATGGTGTAGAGCATATATAAGTAGACATTTACTAATGATGATCTCAATTAAGTCTTTAATGTTAGAGAAGTACTGAACATATTTATCAGCCTGTTCTCTTTGACAGTGATACTATTGTACTTTTGCTTCTGGAATACTACGCCTTGGAAGCACAAAAGATATAGAGTATGCTAAAAAGTTTTTTTTTAAAACTACAAAAAAAAAAAATGAGATTGATTGCAAAAATATTTTAGTCAAATGTATTTTGAGTTTTTTACCAATTATTAAATAATGTGTATTATTATTTAAAACAAAACTTATTTTAGTAAACTATTCACTTCAAATGTTTTAGTCGACATTGTTGAAGTGACTTGTATAATATTACTTAACTCTATATGTAGATGAATATTACCAACGTATTTTAGAATATCTTTAATACAGTTTTATAAGTTTTTTTTTTTGTTATTTTACTTCTTAAGTTAATACTTGAGCTGTAATTTTCTATTTAACTTCACATTATTTATTAGGTACTTGACACTACTGTTTTTTTTTAAATTTTGTAGTTAACACTTTTATAAACAAATTAGAATAAATAATATATTTTATCAACTTTTAAAATAACTTTATCTGTAATTAGATTATTGCAACTATTTATTATAATGATAACAATTTCATTATGAGCATATTAGTTCCTTATATATTTATGTATCGAGAATTAGTATTTAAACGTAATACTTTGTTGTTTTTTTTTTTTTACTTTGTATGTGCTTCTGGGGCCTAGGTAGGTATGTCTGGTGTTTGAAAGAGAATACATGTCTTGGTAGCTATTTAAATGAAAATAATTAAAACGCTAAAGTAGGCTTTAATCGGTCAAGTTTTATTATGATAGCCATTGATAATTGATAGGTTCCTCTCCACAAGAGGAGAACTTTTTTTAACAATTGATTTTTACATTGCTTTCATTGTAAATGTAGTAATGTTTATTTATTTTTATTTTTTTTAATTACTCAACAGTTTATCTTCTTTTTTTTTGTTGTTTTAATTTGAATTTATATATAAGTATGATTTGCCATGGTTTTCGCGTGTAATGAAATATTTTACCTGTATCACATGAATTCAAACATTATCGTAATTTTTTGTAGCCATTTTGAATATTTTAAAACAATTAAATTAAATAATATGTTAACTAAATCTAAAGTGTGTGAGCGTGCCCTATGTATAGAATATAATATGATGTATAATTATTAATCAATATTAGTTTTAGATTTAGAAGTTTAACATTATTATGTATTCTTATTCGCCTAAATCTCTCACAAACGAGATTAATAGATAAATCATTGGTGTATTACATATTATGTATATATAAATACATACATACATGTATATTATATATATTAAATAATATTAGTATATTTTTTTATGCTAAATCATTGTTACCAGTGTAGTCATTGTAATATGTGTTACATTGGACATAATAATATTATGTTATGATATTTAATGTTAATAACATAAACGTAAAAAAACCATGCCATTATATTATATTGTAAATACTTCACATTTATTCTAGTAATAATTCACTTAAATTTTTTTTTAGATAAGTAAAATTATTTTAGAGTTTTCAAAAAATAATCACATCATAATATGGTGCAATATTAGACAACATTAAAATTATATTAGTTTTCGTGTATATATATTTTTTTTCGCCTTGTATAAACTAAATAAATGCAATTTTATTACCATATTTATAATTCGTTTTAAACGCGAAATCAGTTGCAAAATATACAAAATAAATTTGCCATAAACAAAATACAAATAAATCTTTTTGCAGTCTATCTTGTTTTCAACAGTCGTAAATGCCTAATATAGCTTTTAGGATTAAAATTCACTATAGAAAATAGACTGATTAATTCGTTTTTCATTAGTATGATTAGAATAATATTTATCTACAAAACTAAACTTAAACTGTGTGCGTTATGAATTTTTAATTATTTCATTATGTTTATAAAATATAGAATAACACTTAATATTAGTATTGTCGTATTATGTAAATAATATTTAAACAATTATTTTAATGTTATATTGTTAATCTTAAAGGAGAATTAGATTTTAATAAATATTTCATTTAGGAGCGTAGGGCTTGTGGCTGTCAAAATAATTTTTGGCTACGTTTTACATAATACTGTAAGGAAAGATGATGATATGTAATGAACTTTTTTATTTATTATTCATTATTATCATTATTACTGAAATAATGTACTTGGTTTACCAAATTTTCTTTCCAAGTTTTGCGTCAGCCACATGCACTATAATAAGTAGGATTTAGTTTTAAATTAATTATTTTTACAATTTATATTCCGTTTTTGTAATGATATTATTGTATTGACGAAATATAGAACTTGTGTGAAAGATTTACTATACTTCGTACTGGTTTTGAAACTATTCTTTATTGCTTTGTCCTTTCCCAAACTTGAATTGATTTCGTATATGTTATTTTATTGACACATTTTTTTTTTATGATATGGAATCTGGTACATTTTTCAGCTAACGATTTATTTTAACATAAATTCGTTGACATAGTCAGTCTCTTATTCGATTTTGGTTTTTGATCGAGTTAAGCCTTTTATTTTTTTTAATAGCCATTACTAACAAAAAACATTTGGCTCAACAATTAAACAGCAAAAGTTAAGCCTTAAGGTATATATTTTTAATTGTTATCTTGACCGAACTAAATTTTGTATTATTTATGAAAGAAGGAAGTGTATCAACAAATTGTTATTAACTCAAAAAACGTGTATTTATGCAATACTTCCTTAAATAGCATAATAATAAAAACAATTTAAATAGAAGAAGTTCACAGGAAAATATCTATTTTTGGCTGTTATAATATTTGTTATTAACTATATATTAATCCATATAAATCACAACTACCAGTTTACTACAGACGTCAGAGTCTAGACTTAGTTGATTGTAGTGTGACATGTAAGTACCTAACTTTATATAATTACTCATAAATCTAAGAAATTTTCATTTCACATATTCACATAATTCTGTTGTTTGAAATATAAAATAGAATAGAATTTAATATAAAAAAAAAACGAAAAATATTTTTTCTCCAAAAAAATCGGCGTTTTGTTAAAAAACCTTTTTTAAATTAAAATTCCCAATTAATTTCGTGTTCGCTTGTTCGATGTTACTTGATATTTTATTTTATTTGTTGTGCGATTTTGACATTTACAAACGACTATGCAGAGAACCTATGACGTATATATTGCTAGCATTTCCATTTAACTGTCACATATTATATGTAATCTATAGGTACCGTTGCTTGAAGCGTTTATTATCATACATATATATATATATATTATATGTATGCATTCGGCTTCCTCATACAACAACGACTGCACGGACTATTTCTGATTATATGAAAACGTCCATATTTTATTATTATGTACAATTGTGGGCATGGTTAAACGGCACATAGCAGCAGCTTCAAAGAGTAATCGACAAATAGTAACAGACAATTCTGCTGGAAACCATTTCTTTTGGAAATGCATAGGTACGCTGTTATGTCTTTAGTCGCTCCATGGCTGTCGGTTTACTGGTTTTTTTTATGTATATATATGTTCACTGTAGGTATGATGCATATGCCTGTCAAATGTTTTTACTAAACTATAACTGCTTTAGAATATGAATAATAAAATAATAACGAAACAAACTAAGCTAGGTAGATAATATTCTATTATTTTATTCACTATATTATACACATAAGTATATTCTAGGTTTTGACTATTCAGCCGGTGAATTTATAACGTTTCAACAAAATATCGTGTCTAATATATTATTTAGTTCTATGTTCCAAGTTCTTACCGAGTTGCTTTTTTTTTCTTTGACTTCAATGAACTGAATCAACCAAATTATAATTCACCTATTATAAGAAAATGGGGATCCGACAGCTCCGGTACTATAAATAAATTTTGGGTTTTAATTTTTTTAACAAATTATAATTCTTATTTACTAAAATATAAACAGTAGGTACCGACGCTAAGTTCAAAGCTAACAACAATAATTGAGTCGTACATATTTTTACTTTCTAAATAAATATACTTAAAAATCTTGGTCGGTGGTTAGGTACCGTATGAATATAATTATAACTATATTTAACAAAATGATTATATAAATAACATGTGCACACAATTTGCTCGACATTGACGTATTACAGATCCTTCGTACTCTGGTCACATACATAACACAATAAAATATTCTAATTGATAAATTCGAACAAAATCAAGTATACGTCCCAGCGGATGTTTTTGGAGGTTATCGAATCCTGGTTATTTTATGTTCCCGTGAGTAAGACGATGTTTTGAACACTTCTTCGACGTACATCTCGTTTGGATGATCAACCCTGAGGTTTCGGGTCCATGGTAACGGAAATGAACTCTTCAACAATTTCCCTGTCCATGTCCGTGTACATTTTGTGGGAATCTGCGGTTACCGAAAACTTCCTCTCTTGTTTTTCGGGTCTCTGTTTTGGAGTGTACGGTCGAGTTTTCCATTTTGGCAACGAACCCGTTTCGTCGTAAACGCCCTGTAGGAATTTCGCACATAAGTCGCATGTTTTCTTTGATACCTAGGTACTTAATAAGCTTAATGATTGCGCAAGTAGTAGGAAAAAACATAGAACAAGTCAAATGCGTGTTTTGGGCATATTATAAAAAATATAATCTTATTATATTTCTATAATAAAATTATTATAGAAAGAAATTATAGAGTAATGGCTAAAGGATTTAAAAATATAGTTACGTATCTCCCGTGGTTAGGGGGAGGGGGTGATGCTCTCTAACTTCCTCTCTATCGTGGGCTCCTTCCCTCAAGTGTAACCTCTAGAGGTAAGTGGGTTCGTGATTGATACTACCACTGGAATAATAGGATTAAGAAAATGTCCCACGGGCAATAGCATCCTAAGTAACCTGCCATCAATACAATTCTAAAATTTATCATAATTTTAAAGTACATAGTAGAAGTAATTCATCGGATAAAAAAAAAGAAGTAGAGCAAAATAATTGTTATAGAAATGTTTAAGAATGGTCAAGACTTACTAGTTTCTATATTCTTCATCGATATATTTTTCTTTAAATTATATAATATTATTTATTAGTCTTTGAAAATTTAGAGTAAACAATAAAATTAATTTTGTTAACACATACTTTTGTGGTTTTTTTGATTAGGAGGAAATTGTATACATTTAATATTTATTGAACGGTTTGAAAATAATTTTAAAATTGTTTAATTTTTAAATTTGCAATATTTTGGAAATACTAAAATATTTTATTTTGCTATGGTATTTGGTTTCTTGGAAAAATGTTATCTAAAAACATTTTGACAATAAGTTTGAATACAACTTTCATATTTTGGGTATTAATAGGATGTAGAGCTGAACTATACTTGTCGGAGACATGAACTGTAATTAGTTGAAATTTCAATGTAGGTTAGAAATGGCTGAAGTGTGAAAATTCTTATGTCGTCGCTAACGGGGAAAATTAGGAATCACGTGTTTTTTTTTATAAGAAAAATTGACGAATTTCTCCTAGTCCTGTCAAGATCGGACCGTGGATGGCTGCCGTTGTTGTCTCGAGGTAAAACAAATATTTGGAGATGACCACATCACAACGGGCGTTCGTCCATTATCGGATCCGAGTAACGGGTTCAAATCGTCACACAGACACACTCACGTGCATGTGTGACAGCTTTTCTCGGCTGGTAATTATTATCATTTAATAATATGTTATACCGTCGTTATATAGTTGTCGCGTCTCCTCTGGACGCTTTACTAGTGTTTGGCCGGCCCGGTATGATCCAATTCAAAGAGGGCCCCCGTGCAGAATCAACGTCTCGCGGTGTTATTAAAAATTAATGACAATAAGAAAAAAAAAACTATATCGCAAGAAGAAACAGATAAACATTCTGTTTAGCCTACATAGCGGCCGTATTGTTATATGTTTCGTATTTTTCCGCAAGGAGGAAGAACAAGAAAGAGAAGATGCACGACATTTCTTCAATCCGACCAACAAACGATAGGTAACTGGGCTGGAACTAATTCCTAACGATTATATTATCATTACTATATTATTATACCATCCACTTTACCGGCTCGTTCCGTATTGGCTTCCATTACAATATACACACTGACACCTTCACGCCAAACACCGGCTGGCTATGCTGGTGGATAACGTATCGGCGACATTTTTAGGTGGCCAATCTTTTTAATATATATTGTTGTTGTTGTTATTATTATTATTATTATTGTTGTATGGATGTCGCACACCTTTTAAGACTGTCAATAACGGACTCGTCGACGCAGAACAACGATTAAAAAGAAAAAGAAAAAAAAATATTTACTGTTTACCAAATAATGTTTGAATTGAATAATCAATCACTTTATTTATTTTTCTTACACGTCCATCCGTTTCAAAATTCTAGGTTTTTTTCGGTTGCGTTGTAGACGTTTTTTATAAAAGTCCGCATAGATTTATTTAAACTTTTACAACATGTATTTAGATTCGATTTTCTTAGTGACGTTTAAAGAAAAAATCATGCAAGCATTTCAAGGTTTAAAATATGTGTTTGACATTATTGACATAATATTTTGTACCTGCTACTTTTAAGCATAAACGGGTTAAACGATAAAGTAAGTACTGTTGTATGTTGTATGGCCAAAAATGAATTCATCAAATTAAATGTGCTTTTTGGTTTGGCAATACAATTTCAAATTACGAAAGACGCATTGTTTTATGTTTCTTGTCCTAATTTTTATTTTTTACCATTTTTAATGTTAACTGTCCAACAACTGTCGCCTAACAAGTAACATTAACTGAAGGCTAAACGTCTGGGAATAAAAACTGTGGGTACCTACGTTTTTTCTAATCGTATGCTGTCATTATAAGAATATTATTGTTGTTTCGCTAACGGATATTTCATTTTGATAGGAATCATTACGTATCATATAATATGTATCCACACACTTCTATTCAGTGAAACGCATTATACGTCGAACTTTAGAAATCAAACTATGACTTGTGTTGAAAGAAATTGGTCAATTAGAAAACCACGTAATTATATTTAAATAATATCCTTTGGAATCAGAAATTTCGTTTAAAGTTTTTTTTTTTTGTAAAAATGATTATAAATATTTTAGTGTTATAGTAGTTGTGCGAAGAAATATATTTAACTAATATACTCTACAAATAGTAAGAAGTTGGTTCTTATAAAATGTTTGTCTGTAAACGCATTCGAAAAATCATTGAACCCACCCCGGCTATTTAGTGTACTTTGTTTAATAATCTCTGGGAATCTTAAGTAAAGTAAGAGGGGCAAACACTTACAGATTTTCGAGGAGTCTGACCAAGACTGTGAATATGTAGTGGTCGGTCGGCGGTCGGAGTCTGTTGTACCAACCATTTTTGCACTAATTTTTGCTTGCTGCCAACGCTGGAACTGCAACACGACGAGCTCCTGTGTCTGGCTCCTGGCCAAGGGGATGGCGGTTCGTTGACTACTATCAGCCGGACAAGTCGGTAGAACCGAAAAGCAGCCAACATAGTTGTCAAGCATTGGACGGATGTGGCCAACAGTAGTCCTAAATTGGCCAATACCGGCGCCCAGTTCGTTTGCAGCTGTTCTGCCGTTAGTGTTTTGTAGTGTGTCTGCAAAAAAAAAAAAAACGATTGTCAAAATTTTTCTATTTTGGGTACATATTTATGTAAAGCTAAATAAACGTGTGTCTGACCTTGTCTTTAGGTAAGATGTAGTATGGTTTTTGCGAGTCTTTCAGCAGCCCTATGGCGGTGAGCACGATTGCCAGATTGCTGACCCCTATAGACACCAAACACAAGGCTAAGTATATGGTTATAGACAACGGCGATAGTGTCCTGTCGGGAGCTAAACATCCGTTTAAACTAGCCATAAGACCGACTACCCCGTTGCCCATGGCCATTGCTCCACTCCACAAGCCAGCACCAACGCTGGACACAGACGCCTCGTGCAGCATTGATAATACGCCGAACACGACCATTAGACATCCAGTGACTACTTGCACCAGACCGATTAGTCCAACATACTGAACCTATTGACAATGAATATGGTTAAAGATGAAGAACAATATTTGATTTATAAAAAAAAAAAACAACATGTTTGGAAACAGCAATTCACGGCTTACATTGTAAAAAGCTGTAAGGAAACATAAACAAGAACAGTGACGCACGTTAATTTTTGATGGAGATGTATCAAAAATAAAAAATAAAAAACACCCCAATCCACTTTGTTGGGGATCCCCTTGTTATACGTAAATGTACCCAGACCAAAACATAATTGTATAAAGAACATGTGTCATGTGTAGATTGATTAATATGGCGGTAATTTACTGGTATTGATTTATGCATACAGTATTTATTTCAAAAATAGTATATTATGAAACATTATAGTCTAATGATTAACTTCAAAGCTGAATTATTTACAGTTATCTTTTAGGTTGGGTATTGACGCGGCATATCTTATTAAACATATTTTTTATTTCGTACCTGATTTTATATTTTTTAATATAATGATGTAATTTGTATTATAAACTATTTATATAATACCTAAATATAAATATAAGTTAAACCAATTAATCCAATACGTATGTTTACACTGTAAAACTGCATCAATTATATTATGTTTGGATATGCACATATACCAGGTATATGAAATACATTTTTGCCTAGGATTTTTCATAATTGTATTCTTTATGGTATAAAATATGATTATCATTATTATCTAGTACTGACTTAATACCTTCTTTTAAACATATTATAATGTTGTTAAAATAGCACGGTAGCCAGTTTTTATTTTTTTGTGGAGGGGTCTAAGGGATGATCTATATTTTACAACAGTCAATAGAACGGGTGCCTGCCTACATATATTATTATACGAGTATAAAAAATTGTTTTGGGGAAGCACACGTCCTTGGTTTCTTACTTAGCTATGGCATCGTTTTAAAATATATTTTAACCCTCAGCTACATAGACTATTGGAATTAGATTATTGTATGATAATCGATTACAGTTTAATGACTTTAGAAGTTCTGAATTTCTCTACCAGACCGATTATTTGTATGAAAGTCTTTTTGGATTTAATATAGGTAAACCGCAAAATGTACGTGTGTGTTTATTTTCTACTTGAATTTCTCTTGTTTTTTTTCAAGGTCTATTACACAATTAAAGGCCGTTTTCACCACTTTAGCTTACCGTTTAAGTATAGATTAGCCTATAATTTTAGTGTTGTTAAACTGTTCATCATTTTTAAGATAAACTGTGGAGAACGACCATAATAGCTGTTATAGTTGGGTAATTATAGTAGGTATAGCCTGTACAATTATATTATATATCGAGAGATTTATTTGAAAAAAAAAATCGATAATTGAACACTATTCTTGCGGTGACCTATATGATGTTTCTGAACAATAATAGGTACAACAGTTAATACATCGGATGACGGTTTCTTTTTGGAAAAATACTTTTATTTACCGAAGGTCAATAATTAATCAATGCATTTGAATTATTATGAATATAAACAGAACGGCATACCTGATCTGAGTGATGTCTGGACTTTCTTGGCTTGGCGGGTCTCTGAGGCGTTTTAACCACGAAGTCGGCCTCGGACGGGTAATACGACGGAGTCGAGGCTCCCATGTTCCTAGACATATCGTTACTGGACCATGTGTACACGGCTACTGTTATACAGGTGGCGGGCACAATTTTCACCGGACGGCGATCTCCCTTCCCCGGCCAGCCGCCTCCGCCAACAGCACCTTTTATTCGCAGCAATAGGCCACAGGTTGGCAAAAAATCAAACCATTTTTGTCGCCGGATGCGTTTCCGGTACTCTTCTGGTAATTTTCATTTGGCGGTGCTCGCGCGGAAGCGGCAAAGACGATTGTAAGTCCTATTATTTGAACAAGACAAAATAGCATAATATAACGATTAGGTAATACGCGAAATTAATAAAGCCATCGATTCGAAGGAGGATTTCTCGGTTACGTGTTTTATGTTCTTCCACGGCAAGTTAAGCGACGTGCAAGTAGACCCAACTTAATACGTGTATTGTGCACAAACCGATAAACTTAATACCTATAGTGTTTTTTTTATAACTGTATTCTACACGCATAAGACATCTATAAATCCCCGTTTGTTTCATTAACTTGTACGTTTTAGTAAAGTTTAAAAAAAATAGTTTAGGTTTTTGACAGCAACACTGATATAATTCACATAGGTATTAGACTTTTGATGAAATACTAGTAGTCAATTTTTTTTTATACATATAAATGTTGGTTAATAGCACACTTCAAAGGTGTGTTTAAAAAATTATCTATACTTCGATTAGGACAAAAGAACAAAATTGTGGATGTCATCTAGGCGGTGAAAGTAATTGAAAATAATTTTAAAAAGTTAATTGAAACAAAATGAAATTCATTGTACCAACGATTAATTTTGTTATTTATGATTAACGTTTATTTTATATGAGAAAAACTGTTTGCATTGACTTTGGCTAACGGCTTACCAGCAAGTTATTGACTATAATTTATTTTTGTGTTTATTATAAACAACTGATTTATGTATAGTATTAAAATTAAAAATAACATTACGAAGGATCTTGGTTAAACAAATTAATTAACAGAATAATAAACAAATAAACCCCTAAAATAAATTGTATACAGCATATAATGTCGTGAACTATTATTATTATAATCCGTTAGTGTCAAACAAATTACGTGAAAATAGGTTCAAAGAAAACGGTTAAGTAATATTATAGTATGCTTGTTATAATAGTACCGACTGCAGTGCGGATGTCGCACATCTTTATAGCTGTACAAGACGACACCGATCTAATGGAACTAATGGATCTAATGTTAACGAAATTACTCGATTATCTGCTTCAGCGTCACGTGAAAATGAGACTTGGACTTGTTTATATATTTATATATCCACAGGTCCTATGTTACATAGTATGAAATAATTGAACCGGACTAACGGACTTCCAACTTGCACCACTGTCTTTAGGCTCTAGCTGTAATTACAAGACATTTGTACATAATTTTATGTTTTAAGTGATTATTTTCATATCAAACAGAATGAGTCGTTATTAATAATATACCCTAAATATCATTAGACGAGACAAATTTATTTGTGGATGTCCGATGGTTACTCTATGTCCTGACCGGTGTATATATTATTTATTATTTACAAAACGTGTACAACGTTATAAAGACACAATAAACTATATAAAAATATTAATATACAACATGTAAACACTGTACTGGAAATTTAACCTAAACTTAAATGATAATTAATTAATTATACATAATATTTTTTTATCTTGTCCACAGAAACATTATTTTAAAACGGTGCTTTGTGGCAGTTTAAATTTTAACTGAAAAAATTCAATTGTACCAGCAAATCGGTTATACGTGCCTGCGTACTCTGCTTTGTAAACCGATGCGAGTGTATGCTTTTAAAAAAAACCATTTACAAAAAGTGGAATATTTTTACAATAGAAAAGTATGTACGAGTCGAAAATATTAACTTTCAAAGAACTGATTAATAGGTACAACAATTATAATGAATACTCGGATGAAAAACTGTCGTTACAAAGAATATTACACGCATAGTGAAAACTGGACTTATGAAATTCCATTTTATAGATTTTAAATAATTTTAGTTTAAAAATTTGATCAATCGAAGGCATACCTACATTTTTTTAAATTTATCATATCAAGCTAATTAATTACACTACAACAAAAAGTTACCTTTTTCTGAACAAGAACTAATGTAAATCTGTGTTTTGAATTTTTTCGCCGAGTCTGAATTTGGCCTCACAATTTGTCTAGAACGTTATTTTTTTAAATCGTCTCAAAAGTTGTAATAAGCGCAGTTTTGTAGTATTTTCGGCAAAGTTTGTATCTAAATGTTTTAAAAGGTACTTACTTAAAGAGGGATTTTTCATTCTTATGCTATTTTCTTTGCTGAATTCAGAACGGGTCTCAGAAATAATGTAGACTTTGTTAAATATCATGTTGTGTATAGTGTTGTTATTAGTTCGAGGTATTTTACTTAAATAAAGACTATTTTTAGATGTTAGTAAATACGTAAAATATGAATTTCGGATGTGATACTGGTCGCCCATTAAGTTAATAGTAATTGTTAGTATATACCTGTAGAGCTCAGGGCTGCAGCGTAAAGTTTAATAAGGTGGCCGATGACGTTGACTTTAACCACATTAGCCGTCGATATACTTGATAAGTTTTACGATCCGTGTGTACCGAGGGAAGTCGCCCGATGGACTCGTTCACGACGCATTCACCGTGTTAAAAATAATATTATTGTCATTGAGGGACACGTGTACTTACGACGGACACCGATCGAATAATTGGCCGCATAATAATAGTTTAATAGACATTCGTGACTATGACCACAGTTAGATGCTGGTGGTTTTCTTCGATGAGGCCAGCCGGGGAAGGCGGTACGGTGGCGGTGCCATTGACATTACAGGCAACGTCCCCTCCTGTCCTGGACGCTATTCTTCCGTTTCCGTTATGTATTTTTATTATTATTATTACTTTTTTTTTGCTTTTCCTCCACGGTAATGTCATCGCTGTCGTCGATCGATGGATATTTACTGAACATGCCATAAATGCTCCAACGAGACAGTTTGGTTAATGAGGTAAACGATTAACGGTCACGACGACGCAACATACGAGATTTCATCTAGATCAAAAGTACAACAAAATGTCACTTAATTAGCTGTTAACCTAAACAGTTTATTCTTTTTTTCATTACACTGACAGGTTGAACAAACTTTGACGTTTAACAAAATATCGTACATAGATTGATCAAAAGATGGTACTAAAACGCATTTGTTGTTTTTCTAATGGTTGAACTATGGTAACTAAATTGGCCGATCCGATTGAATTGGACAAACTTGATAAGTCTCTGTTCTACTTATTCGATATTCGTGTACCTGTTTTGAATTGTGTACATTCCATATATATGTATTCACTATTCCAATTGAATATGCATAATGTATTCGCTAATGTACTACATACATACTGAAAGTGATTATCGATTTGAGCCTTCTGGCTGAATTTGTTAGAACGATAAATGTACGCAGGCGGTATTAGCTATACGATATACCTATTACGCATCTTTAAAGTGTGTATAATATATTATTATTATTTACTGTGTCAGTAAACTATATTATTGAAGTCGGACGAGACGGTAATAATTGATAACCATTAGGTCCGGCGTCGTCGTGTCGAATCATTTTGTATTTTCAATTTTGCAACGGCCAAAGTCAAAATCGGTGGTGGCCATAAATGTATTACCGACTGCCTATTGTAAGTTGTAACTAGTACATTGTTTTTTTAAACTAGAACGCCGCCACTCGTTTTTTATTATTACTTTAACGTTCTTAACAGTTAACACTTAACACCAGCCCAGCTCACATTCGATCACCGGAACGTTACCATACGTATTTGCGGTCACCCAAATTATAAAAACAAAAAATGCCTTAAGCCGCAGGTTGTCGTTCGATCGCCGTACTTAATATTGCATCGGGTTTTAGGCAGACTGTTATTGTTGTTTGTTAGTCGGTAAACCTATCGACGAATGCCTTAATGTCTTATTACTATTTTTTTTTTTTTGGTCGGTTTCTTGTGAGTTGTACGGTTTGTGCAAAAACGCATTCCATCGACGCTCAGAAAACGTTTAGGGAACAATGTAAAAACTACATAATATTCTCACTCATAGCAACTATACACACACTCGATTGTTGTGTGCCAAGACGTCGACGGTTAAACGCGTTGTGCAGTATTATAGTATGGAAATAATAAGAATATCCCTTGACAAATTTTGCTCCAAGAAATAACGTGAGAACACGTGTCAGTCGTATACATAGTTTAATGATGATTGTTAAACACTCAAAATATTCACCGGATGGAAACTTTCGCGAAAATAACAAAAGCACACCGCATCATCTACCGGAGGTCTGCCTATATTATATTTTGTTTTTATTTATTGTTCACAGTGACACACTTTATTTTGAGTATATAAGTAAACGTACGGTTAAACTATCATAACTTTGTTCAGAACTCCATAAATACTGCTTAGACATCATAAATATGTTATCTCAGGTATAAGTAAAAAAATAAAAATTAAAACAAACTCATTTTACTTGTAGTTATTAAATTGTGTTAAAATATTTAAACAAAATTTATTTTAAGTTTTTTTATTTTTAGTTAATTTTTTCTTAAAAATAAATCGTTGCTTTTTAAGCAAGTAGGATCGACCAGTCAAATCCCCACTCTCCACAATCTCTCTTTCTATCCGTCACCTTATCTTTAAGTATTAACTTCCTTACATTTTCATGTCGATCGGCATATATTTACATTTTTTTCCTACTATTCCCCTATAATTAGTTACGTTTTACACTTTTACTACGATTTCATTTTCCTCTCATCTTTACATACCCAAAACATCTCAATCTTTGCTCTTGTTTTTTCTGTCATTGACTCCACTTCCAAATGCTGGGCTAACCTAGTTAGTAAATATGTATACAGATGAATACGTGAAAATCATGAACTTTTTTTAATAACTTTAAAATGTGTGAAGCTACAAAATTCTTAAATTTTGTTTTTCGTAGAATGTATAAAAAAGTAGGTAGCGCGATAGTATAAATATATTGTTAGGGAAAAGAAGCTATTAAAAGTTTTGATGTTAATGCCCCCACCTATTTGTGTTTATGAGGCAAATGTAATTTTATTTGTCTGGTTATGAATAAAAACCCTATACAATTTGATAGCTATTCGGTCATTGTCACATTTAATAGAGCTTTTACTAGGTATTACAACTCAATACACGTCATGTTCTGTATAACAATTTAGTTGTAACAATAATTACATACATTTTTAAAAAATGTTTAGTATAATATATTTTAGTATCATTTATTGATCTATCAATGGTCGTTAAAGTTACCAAAACAAACTAACCGATTGATCGTATTATAGGTTCGTATAAAAGCTGTCGGTTTTGAAATATAATTGGGCAGATAGATCTTAACTAAGCAATAGACCAATAATATGATTTTAAAATCCAGCTTCCCGTAATTGTAACGTTAATATCATGAACGCGCTAAGTATTAAGTATATAGTCAATATAATGGGCTGTATGAACATATTATCTATTATTACGCAATAATTATTGTTAACTCCAATATACCTAATCGTAGACTGCAAAAACAATAGCATGGATTGAATTATAGTAATGACTAATGCGTTTATGTATAGGTACCATGTTTATATAACAATGATCGAAAGCGTGTTCCTCCGGCCACAGTTCACAGTTCCGACAATTGTCGGAATCCCATCATCCGGAATGACTTGATACTATTTTATTGTGCATCACGGCAAAAACCGTTAATGAGAAACTGAGTAATAATTGTTATATTGTTATGGTTTATTATTTTTGAGTAGGTATTATAATTCATGGTTTGTTTGTTTTTTGGTTTATCGGTCGGTAAAATCGAATCGACCGATTATTAAATGCTATGATAACCGCAGCATTTGAATGTGTTCAAGCACATGTAATAAGTATGATTACCATCAAAATTTTCTATAATTTAAAGGCAGATGTTAATTACTATCTTATATCTATATCGTGAGGCAACCTAATTACTGGACAACTCGCAGCAAAGAGATTGCTTCACTTGGTTATTATTTCCCACTTTTATATGATAATGATACATAGATACAATTACATAAACACTGTGTGTTTTGTCCAAATTGTAGCCGTTAGATATAACTAATAATACCCTAAATAAATTCTTGGAAAAATACACACAAACTTAAGCATTTCTTTGATTTCAATAATTTAACAGCAAATAAATATTATAGCAAAATTCGAAAAAATTCATTGATTAAACCTTTGGTGTCTCCTAGCTACCAAGCTGCATCTAGTTTAATATACAAATGTTATACACGATGTAGGTACAGTTATTGATCGGCTATAAATGTATTGTTAAATATGGCGGCGACTAACGTTATCTCCATTTCAATGTTAATTTACTGAGTAGATCTATTACAACTATTATTTAATAATAATAAAAATAACAGCGTAAAATAAACTTACGTGTTAACTTGCGCCTAAAAATTTGGAATTGACAACTAAACACACATACAACAATTGAACAGCATATAATTTAGTAAATCAATACCATCTATTGAAAGTTCAGGCAACCAAAAACGCGCAAATGTAATATTATAGCCTATAGGTTTATTAATAATGGTAAATAAGAACCAGAATATGAACAAGAGAATGAGTAGCATTTACAGACAAATAATAGCTAAAAAATTTATTTTTTTTTTAGGTTGTAAAAACAAAAAAAATACCTAAGACAGTATTAAAAATATTTATTAGATGTTAAAATAAAATGTTGAAAATAAAATCTCAAAACAAATACAATTGTATACAAAACTTAAGATTAGTTGAATTTATTGTCCTGTGGCTTAGTGGATTTTGTTAACTGGTTGGTCTATTATATATTTTTAAATACACAATTTTAAAAGGACGCTTCACTGCCAATTTCAAAGGAGTAAGGTATAATATGCAATTTTCGAAAATCTTAATTTAGAGCTTGAACTTATTGTGTATTAATACAGTAATACGGGTGTGTTGTATTGTGTAGTGTCCTTTTAATATTTTTATTTGAACATTTTTAGTTTCCACTAATTAGTAATTTACTTTCAAATATCAGCGTCCTGAGATAAATTTATTTAAAAACAATTAAGCTAGCATTTGGAATAAGATTTAAGTTATTGGTTTAAGACAAAGAAAGTAGAAACGTTTTCTATATTTAACTATAGAATACGAAGTATAAAGTATGTACTATTGTCCATACTTAGTATATATTTATAGATTATAATCTATTTTATTATGCTCTTTTTAAACAAATATCATTATTGCATTAACAGATGGATAATAACTCGCCGTTTAACTGTTTTATTTTTTAAATATATTAATTAGGCAATATTTGCAGTTTAAATTGTCTAACTAACTTGATGATAAAAAATAATTTTTAATGATGTAAAATAAAGATTGTTTTCCTCATATCGAGGTCGCTTTGAGAATGTACCTGCAACTTACGGTCACACAAACATTTGTAGGGAAAGGTCATTTTAAAAATAGAATTTGATCATGCTACAAAGTACGAACCTTCATGTTACAAGAGGGGCTTAACGTTTTGGACAACTAAGTTTTCAATAAGTAGCATCATTAGTGTTTACTATTTAGGGAAACAAATTAGGCCACTAAGCCATTTCTAGGATAAGTTATAACTTTTATGTATCCCCCCCTCTTTGGGTCAGCACTACAAATCAGCTTAGGGTCTAAGGGTTTTATACTTTATAATATATCCTATTATTTCGCGTTACAAAAAGACTTAAGCAAATTTCTATTTATGTAAAATTGTTAAGATGTCACAAATAGAAAATATGGTAATTTAATTTCTTTTTCTTTTACGATTTGTGTCCTACTTCTAAAAATTGTTCCATTCGTTCTGCTGCATCCGTAGAAGACCTCATTCTATCTCTATGTATAAATAACTATATTTTCACGCTCTTGGTTTTTTTTGTACATTTTTCTCATGCCTACAATAATTTTAAAAACTCGACGACGTCTTTTTTTTATACTCCACGGTTAGGTAACTATAAAGAGAATAGTATATTACCTGTGCCACTCAAAAACTATCTAAATATTATTGTCGAATCTGTGTTTATTATGACGTATACTTGGTATATTGTATATATTATAATTTATATACATTAAATATATTGATGGGGTTTTCAATAACACAAATTGTATTGGTATTACGAACCAATTTTTTTACGTTCACATTAATTTAGTCCAGAAGTGTTAAACATTAAATTTGTTGAGATTAGTCAAAACAAAAATCATGCACATCCATAAACCAAATGGAATCATAAAAATATCTTTACACACACATACAACTAAATTGTATATTCAATTTTTGTGATTTTTGGACTTTGTGATCGTCGATTGATGTCCAGGTATTTCCACGTTGTGTTGAAATTCATTTAAATTATACATGTTGTATATTAAACACGTGTAATTTCAACAATTCGCTTGTACGTGTATATATTATATACTTTTATTTTATTACAGTAATTATTTTATTAAAGCAGAGTGCTACAACACCAAAATCACCGCTGATATGTAGCGAGAATATTATAAATAATAAAAAACGTTATTGATAATATTAATATTTTAAAGCGAAGTACAGGGTTTTTTTTTAAATATTTTTTTGCTATTATTATTATTATTATTTAGTATATGTTATAAAAACATAATAATATACTTTCTATAATTGTGTTATACAAACATCACGTGAATATTGAAGAATCTAGGCTTGACAGCCAAGTAAAATTGTAGGCATTATTAACTTATCGTTTCACAATATGATGTATAAATATTTCAGTCTACTAGTATATCACACGGAAAGACTCTATACAGGCACATACTAAAAATAAAATATTTATTCAAAATGTCAAAGATATATACGATTTACATTATAAAATATGTTATTGATTTAAGATTCTATTGAAACAAAATATGGTATTATAAAAAAAATAGAAGAATATATTATATATATTTTTAGTGGGTGATTGCTTAACGTCAAAATCCTCATTGTATTTTTATAAACCACGTGAAAACAAAAAAAACTATTAAATTATTTTATTAGAAGGTACTATAGAATCTAAATTTGAAACACATAGCTACTATTATTGTACCAACTAGATACACGTCCACAGTTCAATTTCTAAATGATGGAAGTATTACACCATGTGATTAGATCACGAAAAACCACAGAAAAAAGTATACCGCAAACATAAAAAAACATGTCATTATAAAATCAACACATTCTCAGCTTTCAAACGAATAAAAAAAGTAGACACATTGTTAAAACAAAAACTATTTATTCTACAACGCAATCTGTTACCTGCGAACACGGAACACATTTATATTGTACTCAAAACATATTTGCGGTTTATAAGCTAAAAACGCAGTTGAACAATTTCTCAATTAAATATTTGAATGCGTTTCATTAAAAATTACCTAGTCTCGACTATTAATGTTTTAGACTTATCAATGGTGCCTACCTAAAAATTGGTGTTTTTTATATATATATTTATTATTAGGCTGATAATGAATAATGATATTTTGTATTACATAATGATTTAATACAAATAAATATTTACAATACTAAAGCTTTTCATTTTAATTTAATATTTTGATTAATGGTAAGTTTTTGCTTTATAAACTATAACAATAATAATGACAATTAAAGTAAATTTAATAAGTTTTAATAATATTTTTTTTAAATATCACTCCAAAAAAACGTAGATCTTACGCCCTAGAAAATGCGTAATAGATTATTGCTTAAATTATTACAATAAAATAATCAACAAGTTAATAGAGTACCTATCGGTAGACTGAATAATAAAAAAAACTGGTTTCCATTATTTGTAATTGATCTACGTTTTGGTTTAATAGTTTATTTACAAAATTGTCGGCGGCTATCTGCTTTCAGTGTCCCATTAGCTAAGCTGATTGTTGTAATTAACGTTATCGAAATCAATGCAAGGATTCGAGCGGTTGGTTATTGTAGGAAGTAAACCTAGTAGAACAGGTGTGTTGTAGGTACAACAAACCTGGCCCTACCCAATGCTGTTTAATCCAAATAAGAGGGAAAAGTGTTATATTTACAGTTTGCCGGCGCTTCGGTCACTCCTATAGACCTATTGATCATTTATAGTACTGTGCAATCAACAATGCGGTGAACATAAAAATATGTCTCAAGAGTAGTTTTTAAGTCATTTTGTATTTAATTGTAATAGTGTTGTTTCCTAAAAATTGTTTTCAATGTTATTAATTAAATATAAACCATTGTATTTCAGTTTAGTGATACCTAAGTGAGTTGAAATAGTGCCAGGGAATTACACAACTACCAATAAATAAGTCGTGAGTCAAATTTTTATTAAACTAGATGATTATTTTTTTTAAATCGACGCTGCGTGAGCGTGCAGTGTTAGAATTTAAGTCATAAATGCTGTTGTCATTTTTTAATCTTTAATCGGTACACACAAATTGGCTACTTGCTGTACTAGGAAATTTATGAACAAAACATATTAGCTAAAACCATATTTCCATAATTATTACTTACATCTTAAAATGTAAAAGTGATTTAAAATTATTTTAAATAATAATATGCCATGTTGTGGTGAACCGTGATCGTAACCTTACACTGTTAAATCTAATAAAATATTTATATTTTTTAGAATATGTAAGTTAGCTATATTTTACAAAATCATATTCTATGGTCCAGAAAGTCTTGACATTTCGTAAGAACGATTTAATGTTACTGTAAACACAAATGCCGACAATACTGTTAATTATAAAAAAAAAAACCCAAGAAATTATTGTAATCTACGAATTCTCTTATCGATATCTCATATCTACGTAATTACCATTTTCTAAATTTTGTTTGAAAGTGGAAAAATAAAAATATTAATAATTCATGTTATGATATGATATGTTATCCATGTTATGTTCAAATTTAAATCATTAGAGCTTTCTAAATTTGCGAACAGGTTTAACTTTGTGTAGGCTTGTTATTTTTCTTTAATAAAATTATACTTCCTATAACAGGACTATAAAGTAAAGTTAAAGTTTCTCACATTTTGGTTGTTGTTTTTACAAAATATCAATAATAAAAAAAAAAACCATTTAGGCTTTTGGCGATTATGTGTTTATGATGTCCCCTTACATATCAAGAATTTTTAGTATTATTTTTCGTCCCTCGACCCCTCGACTAACTTTTTACCTTCAAAAATGGTTGAATACTAATTACTATCATCCAAAATCCATAAGTCTAACGCTTGTTATAATGAAATTGGGTCCCGGGTATTCAATGCCATCTAGGGTCCCTGGACAGTGTAAATTATTTCCAGGCAAACTCAAAACAGATATCTAAAACTCATGGCCGGAATCGTATAGGATCTCTGGAATCCATATAACATACCTATATGCAAATGCTAAAAACTCAATGATTAAAATAACTTATTGATTACTATTATTATAAATCAGTGTATGTACGCACTTGTAATATTTAAGTAGGTACTATTATTTATTGAAAAACAGTTGTTGATGAATGTTATTAGGCACCAATGAAATAGATTACTGTTAAAAATTGTATCTGTATTTTTCTTTTCTTTGTGCAGACTTGTACAATCAAACAATGTAGATTTTATCACATATATGCGAGATGTGAAAATAATTATTTGAATTTAAACGGTATCTCCCCCAGTAATAATAACAACGATGTAGGTATTGCGAAACCTTACGAATTAAATAAAAATCCAAGATATCACAGAAAAAAAATTATAATAGCCGTGTTACGTTTTATTGTTACGTACAATCTACAGATCTTGACCAAGTAATTAGGTTACAATAGTTTTTGAACGCTTTATTGTGGTGAACATATTAATCGACCAATATTTTTTTTTCAATGTTTTTTCATTTAAGGCTAAATGGTTTACAATTGCAGACAGAAATTATTCGTTTATAGAATATTCACAATAATAATTTTGTACTTCAAAGCTATTCAAATGTGAACCAATTTCGTTAAATTACAAACAGTTAAATTTACTTTTGTTAAATACCTGTACTATTATGTAGTTGTAGCTGTAATTTGTATACAAATTCACTATATACGATCCTAAAAATATGGTTGAATAGTACTATTATTGAAAAGGTTAAGTGTAATTATTTGCTTGTCATATTTATTAACAGAAAATCTCTTCTTAATTAAACATACGTATTTGTTTATACATTTTTGTTTACTTGATTGACTTGGACTATCGTGGAAAACAATTTCAACATGACGATATGTTTGTTATGGTGATTTATCTAGATTAATTAAAACGTACGGATTGATAGGATTTCTTATAATTCATAATTCCTTCTAGTATATTAATTATTAACGTAAGATCTGACAAATAAATCTAACCTAATTATCAACTACAGGTAGTACATGATAGCAGTGAGTGTTGATAGGAATCATTGTGAAAGTCATCATTAAACATGTAAACTCATTATAAGCTGTTTACTATACATATTGTTGTTAAGACAGTTTTTTTTATTTCTCTAAAATGTAAACCACAATAACAAATATAACTGACTAAGATATAATAAAAAATTAAATGCCATTAAGTTTAATTAGTCGATCAAATGTTAGAAGGTATATGTTGTAGTATAAGTGCACACAAGTGTGTTTTATTGTGTTAATTGACAATTTTCTATACCGATTATCGCCGCCCACGTTAATCGGGTGATTGCGTTTTGTGAAATGAGCATTGAAATACACTATATTATATAGGTATACGTTAAATGTATACAATATAGGCTGTACCGACATCGTGTGATTCGTTTGACAGGTTATTATTTTGATTTTCGAAAACGCGTGTTATTTTCTATACCACCTAGAACCATATAGTGCTTATGTTATGCTCATGAAAACAAGCTAATTCAGCTATAGTGTACGGATACTTAACAGATACAGTGAAAATATTTTGTTAGGCGACCACGTTGAATAAAGAAATCCAATCTCGCTGACCACGCGACAAATTTGATATTATCATTATAAAAAAAAAAAGTAACATAATATAAATTGTAATAGCCAATGTTGGTTTATAAAGGTCTAATAATAATATGATATCCGTTCATCTTGTTTAAGGTACGTTATTAATGTATAAATTATTATATAACCACAACAAATCCGACGGCATTTTATTTTTTCGAATTGGAGGCAAACCTTTTGTGTTTATTTGTTTCTCCGCTATACCTATATATTTTTTTTAATATTAATTTCCCATGTATCTGAACTAATTATAAGTTTAGATTGCCGCAGGATCGGGTATAAAAAAAATTATAGGCAAGTTTTAGCATTTTATTTGTTTAGGATTATTATATAAACATAATTTCTGTGAAGATCACAAATCGATATATATATATATATATATATATATATATATGATTGACATGCAATTTTCCGCTAGTTACACGGTAAATTTATTTAAAACGGGTCTGACTACCATTTACCTACCTATTCAAAATTTTACAATATCGGCGTCACTAATATGTTTAACACTTGATACGAGCATAAGAAAAACATAGGGTAAAGTATAGTCTAAATTTCTCCTAAGACGCCACTAGAAACTTACCGCAATGACGTATTGAACATAAAAATAAACACAGTAAAAAATGTTTGTGGCTCTGTTCGCAATGATTGTTTCAAAAACTAGAGTTAATATTTTACAAGACCAGAAATTAAATAAAGATTATTTTTTTATTTTTGTAAAAACTATAATTAGTGTCTTATTCACGAACAGCCTCGAAGTGAGTAGATATTACCGTAGTATTGGAGTTCCATTGAACATTTCCTAAGCATCGTTTATCATTATGACACCAGGGACGGAGTTCCGACAAGGTTATTTAGATGGTAACCTAGAGGCGTCAGGTCCCTATATTTATAAACATATTTTTGTAGTATCTGAAACTATCCCTCTTCTTACCATAGGGGCATTTAGTCTTTCTTGGCCTTGGAGCGCCAAATATGTATTTCCGCCTCTGTATGTCGTATAATGCTGCTATATAGAGAACTGGATGGGTTTATTTATATTTATTATATGCCAAAACATTATTTTCCTTAAACAGCTAGTTATTTATTTATTTTTTAGAAATACGTATATTTATTATAACTTTAAAGATTTAATATTATTTTCTTAAATACATATATAACGTGTTAGGACTTATTTTGTCCAGTGTATGAACAGTATAGGTACTATTGCATAAATTTAAATTGTAAATATAAATTGTATCTCTTCTTGTTTATATATAACGGTGATTAAAATTTTGCACAACGAAGGTTATCTGTTGCTAAAGGTATACTGAGTACTGACCAATGGCCACATACGTGCTTATTATAATAACGTGAAAACTAATTTATTGACGTGCTGCGTAAACCATTAACCTTAAACTGTGACCGGAGGGTTTTGTTACTTTAATGATCAGAATGCCGCGGAAGTGACATTAGACGTCCATTGGCGAGTATTGAACTACCTAGGTATTATAATTTAATTATAGCAGGTGTGTAGTGTAAATAACACTGGCGTCGCCTATTATTTTCCGGTTAGGTTAGGTACACGTAGTTCGTAAAGTGCTATATCTAATACATTAATTGATTGATTCATTTTAGTAGTTAAAAAACAAAGAATTGCTAATTACTTTGAGGAAAACACAACTATCACGGATATTATGTACACTATGTCTACGTTCAGAACCGAGGTTAATCCAGGAAGTCACGAGATGCTTAACAAATTTAATAACCATAATGTATTTTACCGCAGATTACCTATCTCAGTTGTCACTAATGGTGTTTAATGCGTTCGTGTAGGTAACGTACTGTTCCCAACAGTGATTTTCCGACACGTAATTTTAAAAATCTTTATTGTATATGGTATTTTAGTGAGGTTTTTTTTATCAATACACTGTTCTAAATATGAATATAACTGTATTTCGATAATTAATCGTCTAGTATATTTATCGTGTTAACTATTATAAAATACTTCACTTATGAATCTTATTAGCACCGGAAAGTTGGGGAGCTAATGAAAAGTTTTTGTAGTCTCCTTCCATCATATACAGAGGTAATAAGCTACTATATTACAAAAACTATGCGTGTTAAACATACAATTTTATCTGTCAGTAGTTTTACTTTTAGATTTTTTAGTATTTTTTCCTTCTAAAATTGTGTTCAATATTTATGAATAAAGCTAATAGTACAGGATAAGGTAATTCACGTGTTCAGTATAATATTATATAAATCTACAAAAAAAATGTGCTAAGCAGTTATAAACGACAAATTGATGTAGGAAATAATAACAAATTATTTTATACAAATAATCCTATTTCCAATTATTCATCGATAAACGCACGCAAAAGAATACACATTTTTAGAAAACTCAAGATTTGTAATTTTTTAAGAAATAAAAAATAACCCCTTCATAATTTATGTTTACACATTGGTGTGCTTTCTATGCAGACAGACATATAAAATGCATAAGGGATGCATAAAAAACTTTTTTCAATACAAATTTGTTTTTTTTTTAAATTATGTTTTAAGTTGTTTTTGACGTTATAGGAAATGTGTATTATATTGAATTTATTAATAGATTTATTTCACCATTATTTAATGATAAACAAATTATAAGTATTATATTAGGTATATAAAGTCAATCACTAACTTGTAACTACAAGCTTTAAAGATTAGCGACCGCTAATAATTGTATCAAAGGTTACTTTTTGTTAACAATTTGAAATATACATTTTGCTTTATTTTTCTTTAAACAATGATAGCAAATATTATTCCTACCAATGCCTAATGATTACGGTTTCCCTATTATTGTTTACAATACATTCACCTACGGATCAATAATAGACTCGTTAGCAATAGATAATATAACGTTTTTTTTTTTGTACCTATAATCGCTATGATAGCTATAATTGTCTTCAATGTAATGGTTGGTTTTTCCCTAATAGATTTTTTAACAGTATTCAAAAAGCGACATTATTATGTATATAGATATAGAAGTATGAAATTAAAAATTAATATTAAACCTTCGATTAAAAGTGTCTACTTTAAATCGAATTAGCTTGAATCAATGTTCTTGATTGTCGCGACTAACGATTTGATTTAATAATTTTCGGCTGCATTGCTGTCGTTTAGGAACGGTCTTGATTCAATTATAAATTTATTGGATGCGGAATATTAAATGAAACTTGAAAGGTCACAATAATTTGTACAGAGAAGTTAAGTATATAAAATTCCAGACGTTCAAAAAGCACTGTGAAATTGGAGGAATTTAAATTTATTTATTATGCAATGTTTAATTTGAATATTAATGCATAACATAATGGTAGTCACGGTCGTCATACGTTTAGAGAGATATTATGACTAATAACAAAATTCCAGCTCTCTATGATAATCCTATTGGATATTGTTTTATTTGTCTATTTAATACATTTTTTTAATGTATTTAATCAGAACTATAGCGAAACTATAACTAGTAATGGAAACTTTTGTATAGTGACCATGTATATTCCCACTAATGTGTGTATATATATATATATATATAATAAGTATATTTAATATAATAATTTGTCGGTTTAAAAAAGAATGTTATTTCTAAAATAATATTTTGAATAATATAATACAATGTAAAATTAAATTTTGCTAACAATTCAACTTAATTGACGAAATATTATAGTTAGATACGTAGTAAAATCTCTAAAAAAAATTGTCTCGTATAGCCGTTTGCTTAAGTTATATCTGAAATTTAAGGGTAGTCTTACTATACTGAAGTCTGATAAACCGTAATATTACCATTAGTGCAAACGGCAAAACCTATTAAAAGTAGATATACTGGCAAAATATTATTATCAAAATTAACTCTCCCGAGGCACTATTTGTTACTTTTTGTCGTGTGAAATTTAATGTAGCGACTAAAATAAATCGTATAACATGCCAACGGTTGTGTTAGGTTTGATTAGGTATAACAACTTACTTGGCAAACATTTACCCAACTATCTGAGTATTTCCTGTAAATGTTTTAATTGTTAGTTTGTAAGTAGTATTATGTTGTATTTTTAGGAACGAGGGTCATTAACTTTGCCGCTTTCAGGACTATTAACGTACCTTTCAGGTGCATAATTTAACTCGATTTGTCGTCCGGCACGTTATCTTCACAGTGGGAATTTGTTAGTCGTTACGGTAGTCAATGTAAGTATTATATACGTATATTTATGTGGCGGTTTAATAATAAGTCTTCGGGTCCAATTCAACCATTGTGTTATCTCCTTGGGATCCCGTCCCCTTGGATACTCACGGCAATTGATAATTTATTCATCGGTCATTGGGCAAATCATTCGGACAAGTATTTCGCAAAACGTTGTGTACCTAAACAAGTATAATATTGCAAAACGCGCGGTGTTATTGTATCTAGTTGTGTTCGAACGGTATTCTATCAAAAAAATTATTGTAATAATAATTTGTCGTTCGATTGTATTCATATTTAGTTTTTTTTTCGTTCTAGTGCATATATTACAATATGGTGCCATACAGCTTTAGGTCAGTACTGCTGCTGCTGCTACTTACCGCGGCCATGACCGCCGGCGTGATGGACGTCGAGTACAGTTGGATTTACGCGGACTACACTTACGGCAGCCTTCAGCAACGGGAATCGGCCATTAGATCCGGAAAGTTCATACCGGAAAATTGTGTCATATTAGACGTAGACGTATTTCAAGGTAAATCGACGTTGGGTGGCACAGAAATCGGTTACCCAATTATACACCACTATTATCGTCGGCTGCCAATGAAAAAAAAAACTAATATTGAACGTGTGTCGAAACGTATAGGTAGGTAGGTACATGATATCTGAACCGGCCGCGGCGCGCTGTTTGCTCAAGAATACCGAATTGCAAACATTCCGTGTTGATACGGTTTAAACGTCGGTGGTTCAATAGCAAAAAGCGTTCGCGCCTATTCCGATTGGAAATCGTTCCGGCGAGTTTGATTTCAAATAAATATCGTTTTAATAATCCCTTTTTTCCGACACACAATACACACACATATCATAATACAACAACCGGTCGACTTTTGCGTTGCAAATCGACAATATTATACATTCGGACTTGATATCCTTTATAATATTATAATATATCGGGTCTATTATAATATCCCGGTTTATTTTAATCGACCGTACGCACACATACTATGTCTCAATAGGTATTATTATGGTTTCGCAGGTACTTCTGAAGACAGATTGTATTTCAACAGCGGCGGACCTGGCAGTTCGTTGCCGAAAAAACGAATTTTCGTGTCGGTGCCACGCATCAAGCCGGGAAATCCAGCGTCGTTGGCAGTACTGGTGCCGGAGGATTCAAAGCCTCCGCTGTTGGCTCCGTTCCCAAGTTGGAAATTCCATTTCCTCTCTGAAGACAGACCTGACTGCGACAATTCGATTATTTCTGTTTTCAGAATGAAGGTATATACGGTTAATGAACCGCAAACATTTTATTTTAATGCGGAGCATGCAATAGTATATTAATTAAGTGGAAGACAAGAGCCAAGCTAGCACAAAACAGATCTAAAGCGATGGGGAATTTTGAAAAACGTTCACTCGGTAGTTACCAAAGCGGGAATTATGGCTCTCACAACCTCGTAACTTTGGTAGTGTAGATCCGGTAAAACATTTAATTCAATGGGTTTTTCATAATGTACAGTTTTCGATTTCCTCCATCATTTTAGATTCAATTTTCCAATTTGAGCAGTGAACTTGCTATACCATAACCTAAGCTAACTCAACAATCGTGATAATCTGACTTTGATCCAGAAACCCTTCAATTTGCGGTTGAATATTCGGAACACTACACTAACTTCCAACTAATTTTAGTGTTAGATTCGCGATAAATAACTTTTATTAATTGCTTATCATTGCTTGTGTCCTGTCTTCTTTTAATATAATATCTAGAGCTAATCTTGTTTGATTTATTATTGGGCAAAGATCGACGACTTGGGTCGATTGTGGGTCGTGGACACCGGCAGAATCAATCAATTTGAACTCCATCCCCGTTCCATATGCCCTCCAAAACTATTGATATTCGATTTGAAAAACGGCGATAAAATCATAAGTAATTACGTTTTTTTTTTAAAATTAAATAATTGGATATCCTCGATGCGCCGCGACTAGTTTCTTTTTATCTTACAGGGTCGTACACGTTTCCCCCGGAACAATACAAGCAAGATTCTCTGTTCACTAATATCATTGTGGACTTTGGAGACCAAAAAGGCCGAAACACGTTCGCGTACATAACCGATACAACGGCTTACAAGTTACTCGTGTACGATTTCAGAAACGACGAAAGCTGGGTCGTCGACCAGCTCCATTTGTATCCGTACCCCCACAAAGGCCATTTTAACATCAACGGCGTCACCTTTGGCCTTATGGACGGCATTCTGGGTTTAGCGTTGGGTACAATAGTTTTGCATCACACTCTTATCGAGTTAACCGTATTTTCATATCATTTTTTTTTTCAGGACCACCGACGAGAAACAACCGAAAACTGTACTTCCACGCGTTTGCCAGCGTTCGAGAATCTTGGGTGTACACTAGCACTTTGCAAAACAAAACATTGTTTGCCAGCGGTCTGATCGACGGTCAAGGTTTGTTCTTCACGTCCCCTGACGTCAGACCTACCCAGTCCAGCGTGGAAGTCATGACAAACGACGGTATATTATTTTCGGCAATGATGGACAACAGTCTCGTTTGTTGGAATTCCGAAGACTCGTTCCTGCCCGAAAACATTCCGGTCGTGTACAAGGTAAATCGTTCACTGCTGTCGTTGTTGGTATTTAAGAGACTTGTTAAAAAAAAACCCGTTGCTTTTCAGAGTGACAGAGATTTTCAATTTCCGAGTGGCATGAAAATTGTCGGCGATAGAATATGGGTGGTTTCCAACCAGCTCCAGAACCATTTCACGACTTTGGTCAATGACCGCAGCTCAATTAAATACCGAGTGCTCGTCGGTCGCGTGGACGACCTGATCAGAGGCACTGGTTGCGATAAGAGGTTTGCCCCGATCCGTACCCCAATAGCTGCTCAAAAGATTAAACCCCCCCAATCACTCGTATTTAGTGGTAGAGGAGGTTAACGGTTCGCTTTGTATACACGCTAATAACGACAGGAAGAAAAAGTCCACGTCAACACGACTTTTTAGCTATAGTAACGTACAATCCCTGAAGACCTGTAAATATTTTTTAACGGACACGACACATTTATTCCGATACGACTACTTCACCGGAATATGTGATGACAGCATTAATAATTTGACCGTCGACCTGATAAATATTTATTTCGCAATAATTTTCGCTTTACCGTACATTAGTTAGTTTTACTATTTATTTGCTTGTCGAGTGTTTTATTATATAAATAAACGCTATTGCATATTATGTTCAATATTGTTGTATTTTATATATTATTAAGATTGTACATTTTACTGTAATGATTTGTTTTTTTTTATCGGTAGTATAGTTGTTTGGTGCAAGATGTATTTGAGCTTGAGACGGTGTATAATTGGTCTCGTGGTGTATTTAATATGTTTAATTGAGATTTAAAATGTATTGTTTTTTTTCTTTCTACAGTTCCACAACTCCTGATCAGGGCTCCGAAATCGACGTAGGCCTAGACGTAGACGGTACAGCAGAACCGGTGACGCTGTTGGACGGTAACGCGTTGCACGAGTGGCGGGTCCCGGTGCCGTCGGGTGTGCCCTGGAGTTATTCCCGGTCGTCCAGGGTGTTCGAAGACGTGGAGGGCTCTAAAACTGGCAACACCAAACGCCGGATGGCCGTGGTGATGACGGGAAACGCCAATGTGCACAACAGCAAAAGCGGCAAAGGATCGGATGTCGGTAAACAGTTGCATACGATAAACTACGACTGTCGGATGACCGTGGTCGACGGTCAGCTCGTTAACCGGAACTGTGCTGGCAGGACTAGGAAGAAGACCAGGAAAAGAAAATACGATCCTTTCAGGTGACATCGGTCGTTGATCGGCTGCTATTGTTCGCCTTCGGTTCAAAACAAAACGCACGGTGACCACGTGACGTTGTTTATACCATTAAATCGTGTACATTATTTTATACTTTGTTGTTATCAAAAAAAAAAAAAAAATACAACATTACCGTTAGTCATCTGACGTGTTGATTAATAATTATTTGTGTAAAATAGCGTTAATAGTAAATAGCGCTCATTTTGCGTAACACGATGGAACTCTCACTTAGGAACCTATTCATTAAAATTAACGTAAAGGTTATTTACCATGAACATGTACATTGATACCGCATATTAACTTTTCGAAAAATATATACAATTTTGGAATAATTTTACAGTTCAAAAATTTAATAAATTACATTCACTCACGATCCGTCCACCCGTAATAGATAAAATAATATAAACTCGCATATTATAAATATTTATTACATACTCTATATTACGACTAATGTATCAAATACATATTTGTTTACAGTTTAAAAAATAAATTGCATCTAATATTTCAAAATAGTTAAATTAATTACACACAATAATATTTAAAAAAAGGTTTAAAGAATTGTGTTTACCTAGTAATTCTTTTATCTCTTCAAGACTTTTCTGATCTCCAACTCTTAGCGTAATTACCTTGTACGTAATAAATTGTACGAAAGTAGCATTATTTCTCTGTGGTTCGCAAACTCATTAAAAAAAAGGAGAAAGTATTCTTTTATATGCGCCTTAGGGCTAGAAGTGCGTTAAAATGTTTAGTAATTACTTCTAGTTTAGATGAATTAAAAATTGATTTACAAGTTAAATGAGCCGTAATAATAGTTTATAAAAAACAATAATTATAGTATTATAACAACATATATTGTTATATTATTTGTTTAAAAACATGTGACTGTACTAGACTTGTGCCTACATGCTAATTAAAATATATAGCTTTTTTAAGCTCTAAGACTCAAATACTCACTCATTGTTGAAAACTTTGGAAAATACCTAATTAGTGCTTTACAGCAAAAATTTTATAAAATATTTATTTATATTTTTTAATTATTGGCTAGCATAAAACCTAAAACAAACAAATATATTTAACCGATGAAATTACAAACAAAACAAAATAGAAATACTAATTACTCACATCATCGAAGAAAAGTACCTACTAAAAAATAATAATAATTATAATATAAATAGTAAACAGTAGGAGATCGACACCGTAAACAATTAAAATTACAAGATTTAAACAATTACATAACAAAAAAGTCAACTATTACATCATAATAAGAACCCAGCTGAGTCTTTATAAAAAATTATTATGTCGTAGTTATTATTATAAGTATAGAATAGCTTAATTGCTAAAAAAAAATATAGGTTAGGCTAGGCAGTTAAGAAAAATATAAATATTAAATTATAATACATATATTTTTGTCTCTTCTGTGTTTTGCATATACATTTTTCTAGTTACGATCAAAGTTAACAGATTGCATGTATAAAAATGTTATACGCAACTTTTAGCTGCTAATAAAACAACTCACATTTTTTTAAGGGGCAAGGTTAGGTTAATATTTTGACATGTACAACACATGTGCTTAAACAGTTGACTATACACAATCCCTTAACTATAAATTAGCCTAATATAAAAAAAATACATCCGAGTAAAAATAATAGGAATTCCTAATACTAAAAAATAACTAAGTTATCATTTTTTATTTTTCTAAAAGATTAAACTAAAAAATGATGAAAAAATACAATTTAGTCAAGCAGATAAGAACTTTCGGTATAAATTAATTTTTATAAAGCTACACTACAGTGTTTACAATTTTACAATGGTCGAAGATTGGGTTAGGTTTACAAAGCAAATCCTCTAGCGATTCATATTCGTCCACAGAAATGATGCAATAAATGCACCGTGCAATTTATTGTAATATATACAAGTCTGTTGTCCGTTTTCCGATATCCCCAATATTTTCAATACATTTTTAAAATAAGTTTATACAAAATATAAAGTAATTAACCAAATTTTAAGTAGTAAGTTTTTAATAAGACTTGGTTGTTTTTTTTTTTCATTATTTGATAGAAACTTAATAATGAAATTATACAAAACTTGAACATAATAAGGATAAGTTTTAGGACTTTATTCACAGTTAAGATGCCTTTTCACCTATATGCCTATTCGCCTCTGGTTGTAAGTGTTAATATTTATACATTAATAATAAAGTTGTGAAAATCAAAACAGTGTAAGCTAATTTTATAAATACAAATAATATTTTTAATGTATTGTGGGCTATGTTCATATAAGTTTCCTCTCAAAACTTAAAAACAAAATTAAAAATGAATACAGATTGGCTTCGACATCAAAAACACACTCGTTTTCACTGGCGTATTCAACAATGTAGCACAGAATACGGTAACGTTCATAAATAGAGCGAACATTTTAGGCCTAAACGTCAACGAAGAAAATATCAAAGTGATGGATTATAGGAACGGTTGGAAGTAGAAAGGCTCGTGTTTGAAAAAATAGACCAGTTCTTGGATCTTATAATACAAATGATAAAATTAAATTTAAAAAAAACTTTATAGCGGACGAAGAACATCTGGAAGAAGAAAAACAACACTAAAACACTGTGCGCAAACGGATGTAGTATGTTAGCAGTAGACAACAAAAAAAAAAAGGAAACCAAGAAAACACAATCAACAGATTATCGCAAGGCACAATAGTTATACCTCTAACCTAATGTAAAAGAAGTAAAGGATCGCATAGCAAGGATTGCAAATACGCATACGGTGAGATTAGTGTTTTTTACACTGCACCGAAACTACAAAACGGGGTAAACGACAAAACCAGGGGGCACCATGAAAAAAATAGTGGGGGTAGAAAACGCATCAGCATGTATAATCTGCGACCGTGCCGCAGAGACGATCGCTTCCTGTTCAGTCTTCAGGCAGCAATTTGAATATTGTTTTTTTCGAATTAATTACAACTAAATTTCGATACCGTAATAATCATTATAAGTGCCTTTGAGGAAACGCTATTACTGCACCTCCGCCACTACTTATTCTACTTCTTTGTTATAATTGTAAAATTAGCAACCCCCTCCCCCTTCGACACTTGTCCTATTTGCTCCCGAATATCACGTGGTCCTGCTGACATAATGTATTTCCACTCTTGCGACTGCTAACAATTTGTTCAGCTCGGTCTAAGTTGACGAGTCACTTGAGTTGTATTTTTCTAGTGTAAAATAGTCTGGCGCCACCATCGTTTCGATAACATTATTTGATGTGTTATTTGGTTCGTCTCAACTATCGTACCTATCATATAATGTTATTATAAAAACAGTAATAATACTTATGTAAGCCTTCCGCAACAACTATTAGCGAGTTCCGGGCATGATTCGAAAAAGTCAAATATTGTTTGCAATGATGAAAAATAACAAAAACTCGGCGTTTATATGTATTATTTACCATCTGCGGCTATTAGAAGCGGTGAACGTTGTATAACACTCGTCGTACTGTTGATTTATATTTATTTGATTGTGAGAATTTCTTCGACTTAAACGATCCTCCCACACGTGTTGTTGTTACAAAATCATTTTATCATTTATTTTGGAATTCATTTTGCTTTTTTTCCGAAAACGATTAAACACGGTTTACCATTTTCAGGTCTTAGGTGAATTTTCACCTTTTCTCCCTTCCGTACCCAACGGCTATTACAAACCGACCTCTGCATATTGTACAGCATAGATTGGTTTTTTCCCCTCGAAAGTAATCACACGGAACAACGTTCGTCTGCTGCCCTAGACCGCTGACCATTATCGTGCGCAATTGGTGGAACCGCGAAAAAAAGAACGTTTAGTATTGCTTCGACTGCAAGTCGGCGTTAATGTCTCTGTAGCGCGTAACGACAACTCGTGTTCTGCCTATGACTTCACTGTTGCGCGAGTAAGACCGGCGTTTAAAGTGGATTTTACGACACGGCTTCAGTAAGTAAAAAACAATGCCTATGCGCAGTAAAAAAAAAAAAAATAAAACAAAAACTAGTAGTATTTGTTAATTTTTTAAAATTTATATTAAGTTTTACGTCGAAACATTTTTTGCAAAATCATTGGAAAATAAACACCACGTTGTCATGTCCATCGAGTTTAATGGGCTAACATTTAAAAAAAAAAACAATGCCTTCTCAGGTACTTTTCATAACTAAAAAAAAAAGCTTCTAAATGTAAGGCGCACCTGAAATGCCTCTCATAGGTCCAAATATTTTTTCTACGGGTCCTTCGTTGGTTCTCGAATCGATTGACCATCAAGCCGCCGCCTCCAGTTAATTTCGGACAAAAAGTTACTCAGAATTTATAAAAGGCAAAATTATTACACAACATTTTGGAAAAAAAAAATGTTAAGTTATAAGTTATATAATGAAATCGCCTAACGTAAAAATGTTTTAAAAGTACATTGAAAACGCGAGACAAACACTTTGGATAGGTCAATATAAAGTCGTTAGAATATTATTTACAAATACGTCTGTAGATAAAAAATTTAAAAATAATTTTCACATACATTCTTCAAAAAATAAAAGTCTGATAGAAAATAAACAAAACGTTTAAACTCTCTTGCTATTATGTCATAGGTATAAACTATTAATTTATGATTACGTTAATACTGTTTTAATAATTACAGCGGTTTGTTTTCATGTTAATCTATTAGAGCAACGCGAGACAACTGTATAATGTCTATGTACACCATTATTTCTGATGGGTGTTTTTTTCTAGTATTAGACATTGATCTATTTACGATTATCGAGTATTTATTATGTCACATATGTCAGCATTGTAAGAAATCCGTACAATACGGTCGATGACTTTCAAGAAAACGTTTCAAGGCAAATGTGTGCTAAAAATATATTCTAATAACATAATATCTATTTATCTTTCTTATTACAGCCATACAATTATAAATACCAAAATCACATAATATACTTATTGTGCTTGGCGTGGAAGTCTGTACAATGAATTTACAATTTAAAAGCTTTTTTGTAAATTAATTTTTTTTTTGCAGGTAATGCTTAAGTCTGACATAACTGCCCTCCCCCCAAATTATAAAAAAATTGTTTTTATTAAACGATCTATGCATGTTAGAATTAAGGTGGAGCCTGTACGTCTAGGTGATCAATTCGATATGAAAATACATATCAAATATTATTTTCCGCAGCAATGGAACCGCTTCATATTTTCTTAATATACTCGTATATTCAATATCGTATACCTACCTATATTGCGTGCAAACGGTTAAAATAACTGGCCGATTCGCGTCAGTGACCATTGACGTAACACAGTGTGATATTACTGCAATAATTATACATTTGAGTATTGACTGACAACGTACTTCTAAATGCGCCAACTGTATAATAACCTACATTAAATTAGTTTTTATACGGGTTTTAATGTATCAACGTAAACAATACTAGAATTAAAGCAACATTGTGGGATGCCAGATTAGGAGTTCGCTTCGAGACGCTTTTACTTCCTTTTAATCTCCATTTTCACACGCCAATTTGAGATAATTCGTACTTATTGTTGGTAGATTCATAATAGCCGAGCACCCTTCGGCAGCGGTAACTAGCTAGCAGTCGTTGTTCATTATCATTAACAATACTATCTCTTGCATGATGATAATTGATAGCATGATCATTAAATCGTATACTAAGAATTGAGCCACCGGCCCAAACCCCGAAGCTACTAAAAAATGCGCAACAACATGGGGATCGATACCCCTGGCTAATATATTGAATAGTATTTTTTATGTTAGTACGCTTTAATTATATAATGCTTGCGATTAAAATTGAATTGCTATTTTACACTTAATCGTGAACCTATTTGTGCCGAGCACTGATTAGAAAACAATAATAATACAAACTGTTATTTGTTGTCAGATGGTTCAATACGAACAACCCCATTCATATGTCTGGCCTCCAGATTACAATTGGATGAATAATAATGGCGCGTCTAACGTCAGTCAAAATCATTATCCGGTTACGTCGACGGGTAAGAAAAATTACCAATTAACAATAGGCATGACCGTTCAAAACGTAACATTCGAAAATTTTCTAAAGTGAAAACTTGTTATCAAGTATAAAAAAAAACCTGGTATATTATTATTATTTTGTAGAACCTGTGATACTTGTATTATGGTCGATAAAGGGATCAAAACATAGCAATGAGTCTAACAATAATTTCGTTACTAATTGAGACGACCAAATGCTAAATAGTAGAAATACATAAAAAAATCATAAACTAACTAAATTAGTTTTAACAGTATAGGTTTGTTCATAGTCAAATTAGTCTAGTACTTTTTTGGCGTTACTGTTTTCACATCATTTCTATGGACTACCTTAATTAACCCTAAAACGCTGTAAAACATAATCTCTTGTTTTACATTTCTTGAGCGTATGTTTTATTTTAAGTATATTTTTATATTAATTCAATAATAATAATCTGGAATGTTCGTCACGTTTATCAATAATGAATTAATTACTATCACATTAATTAGGATCTATATTTGGTTATTTATTTTACAATAGTAGAAATTGATTTTTACGATAGAAAAATTGTTTAACAAATAACTATTTCGTGTCTCAGATAGATAAATATAAAGGTAAAGAGCGTATTTCAGAAATGTTGGTTCCATGGCTGTTATCGGTGTGGATGATGGGAAAAGCTCCGGATGACTGGTCAAATAAATCTAAACCGCCAAAAAAATCTAATAAAGGTTTTCGAAATGAATATGTTGGTTTTAAAGACCGTTTTACGTGGGGTCAAATTGACCTAGAATATCCAAACCAAGAATCTAAAAGGATGGCGAGAAAATCAGGAGCCTTCATACCAGCAAATAATTTACCGCTCGGAATAGAAGTATGGAAAGACAAAATGTTCCTGAGTATACCTCAGTGGAAGAAAGGGATACCGGTAACGTTAACCTCCGTTGATTTGAACAGCAACTCTTCATCTCCTCGGTTGAAACCGTTTCCAGATTGGAACTGGTGAGTATTTTATTGACATCGTGTAAATTGGTTGCATTAATCGCCTTTACCGCAGGTACACTACAGCGGACACGGATCCATGCCGAGGTCTAGTATCTGTGTTCAGGATGCAAGTGGACAAATGTGATCGGTTATGGGTTTTGGACACAGGTTCCATTGATTTGGCAAAAAGTGTAAACCAAATATGCCCTACGAAATTAGACGTGTTTAATTTGAAAACCAATCGACACGTTCGACGTTTCATTTTTCCGTCTGCTCAAGTTTCCAAAGATTCTTTGTTCACCAATATTGTTGTGGAAATAATCAACGACAATTGCGAAGACGCTTTTGCATACATGTCTGATGTATTTCAATACGGGCTAGTTGTCTACAACTACAAAATGGTAGTTGTATATGTTTGAATAGTTATGCCCAAATGAACAGGCTGTCGGTCACTCCACTTCCAGCCGCTGTCCAGCAATCAGATCCGGTTTTTTTTTTTGGAATTTCTTAAAAGTCATAATTAATTGACGGGCAAGTCTGTGGAGTCATCGAACGCCAGTTCATTCGGCACCGGCAAAAGAGTTGAAATTTCGCAAGGTTTTTTCCTTTTTAATCCAGTTTACCGAGTTGCATTGCGCTTACAGCTTAAGTATCATAAACATCTTTGTATTTTATAGGATGTATCCCGAAGAATTTTCCACCCGTACTTCTATCCGGATCCTTTGCATTGCCGCTATCATTTGGACAACATTACATTTCACTGGGTAGACGGCATCTTCGGCATGAGTTTGTCGCCAGAATCAAAAAACCGAGTTCTATACTTTCACGCCATGTCCAGCAATCACGAATTCTACGTTCCCACTTCCTCGCTGCGCAACGGCACTCTTGGCAGTGACATACTTGACCATTTCGTATCATTTAACGATTCTAGATGCCATAAGCACGAGTTGTGTCAGACGTCTGCGTCTGCTATGGACACCAAAGGAGTGATGTACTACAACGTGGTGACCACGGCTAAGATAGGGTGCTGGAACTCGAGACACGAGTTCAAGCCGTCCACGCAGGGTGTCTTAGATAGTGGACCGGTTCAACTGAGTTTTCCCAATGACCTAAAAGTGGACCAAGAGCCGGTACAGAGGATTTGGATGATCAGCAACGGATTACACAAGTACCTTTACAACAAAATGAATCCGAACGAGATCAACGTTCGAGTAATGATGGCGTACACAGACGTCGTGACCAGAGGTACCGTTTGCGATTCTAGATAGTGCGATAGAGGTAATAGTCAAAATTATAATATTATGTGGTTGTTAACAAACCAATAGCCAAAAAACAATTGCTCAATGTAATGTGTAAGTTAACCTTAAAACAACAGAGTTAACACAAAAATTGTCTATACTTAATAAATTATTTTGAGTTTGTTATAAAATTATTAATAACTACGCTAAAATATAAAAGTTTGTTTTTACAATTTATTACTTCATATTTGTAGCACAGTTAATACTAGGACTTTTGAATGGAAGGAATATCATCTAAAATATTGAATTATCGAGTAAAATAGATAAAAACCATATTTAACGTACTTTATTACATCATTTTTAGCATAACAATGTCAGTGGACAAAATATATTAATATGCCTATAAGAGTTTTTGATTGTGTGTTTTGATGAATTATATTTTCAAGCTATAAATGATCGAACAATATATGTCCCTCCTACATTTTTTTTAGCAAGTTAACAGATACAAATTGATTATTGACTTCATAAGCTCTACCTCTACTTAACCTAAATTTTAATAGTTTTTCAATATATATTTTTTTACAATACACGTGAAATAAATTATTTAACTTTAACTTTATTTAAAAAATATTTTTTGATAAAATACTTACTAAAAATGTTGTGGTTTTTATCTTATGAGTGGTGTGACTGCGAGAGTATGTTTTTCCTAACCGCAATAGTAGACAATGCCAACTAGTAATACCATAATGCATGACTAATTTATAATATTATACAAATTTGCACTATAACCGTTTCATAATATTACTACGTGTTTGTTTTTTGAATGTGATAATGAGCTTAGATTCCTATATCCTTGGAAAATATGGCGGATGTACAATTTTACAAAAATAATTATTTTACTGCATAATAAATTTGATTTGCAATTTTCTTAGAAAATATTTCATTTTCTCCATGAAATTTAATTTGCCTGTTTAGCGACTCTAATTCGACCAAAGAATTTTTAAATGTGGTAATATTCAAATTGACGCTTTAGTATTTAAATATGGACACAAAAATATATGCTACTTATCAACATAACTTATGTATTTTTTACTTTATTGTTTCACTAGAAAATATTTATTATATAAATAATAATAAACTGTATAATTGTAAATCGATAATATAAAGAAGATATATTAATTTATTTTCAAATACGTTTTTTGTAATAAAAGCTACTTTAATAATTTTATAATTTATTTGTAAATATAAAATATTGTTAATAATACTATGCATATAAATAATTGTTTAGATAGTTATTTATGTGGAAATGAAATTGAATTTGCCTTATTAAAGTGAGAAAATATTATAAAGAAGTTTTAACAAATTTCGTTGTTTTAATTATGTGTTTGTTTATAGCATTTTATAATTTGTATTACCATAATATTGTCCTGTGGTTTAACGATTACTAATCATTTTATGTTATATTGAACCCTTGGATTGATTAAATAACTTTCTTAATTTAAGTGTTCACTGTTCAGTGTTGAACTCAAAAATGATTATACCAAGATAAATGATTACAACTGCGCCTTAACAATATTCTCTAGGTTGTATATATATTTTTCTTTGACATGTCCACTGCGTTTGGTTCTATGAAACTACAGTTTTTTTTTTTTGGAACTTTCACCGATCAACATATTATAATCGTTTATATTCCGCTGAGGTTTATTGCAGATAATCTATTGCTTAATTTATTGAGTATAACCCGTTGTATAGGGGTTTATAGTTTGAATTTTCGCTTGTAAAAGAAATTAGCAAACAACGAAAAATAATGGTCGGCAGTGACAAAAGGATTGTGAACAATATAGTCCGTGTATTTTTTATACACACCTATGAATGTCAGTAACGGCTGATTATGTTCACAACACTACCGTGTTACATATGAACCCTAATATTTTCTCACATTGAGCATATGATTGCGGAAAATCAACGCACGGTACTAGGATTATACAGTTTGTATTTCCTGACTCCTGTTAAATCGTTAAATGTCATTTTAAATGGCATTTATGTGTCGGACAACGAAGTGCGACCAATTGTCATCATTTTTCTTCCATTCGACTTAAATGGAACTTCAAACGAGAATGTTATGCCACCGACAATGTTATGTTTTAAAAAAATTAAATAGTTTTTTTTAGTACTAATAGCTTGTAGACAAAAAGATTTGTGAGTTTTTCCTATATTGAGAGCTAAATCATTTAGTTGTGCGATATTCGATTTGGAAATTTTCACGTTGTCAACCGACAGGACCGACCAATATTGGATTAGTCATGCAGTTTTGTTTTTAATACGCGTTAAATTTAATTATAAATATTATACGATTATATAATTAAAAACATTAATTCCAATATTGACCAAATGTCATACGTCTCATAAGAAAAATATACCCTTTGAAATTTGAATAAGTTAAGATTTTAAAAAGCTAATACATGGGGTCGGAGAGGTCATAGTTTTTTTATACACTCAAGTAAAAACTAATAACTACAGTTTCATTTGCAAACATTTGGTTGAATACGTGAAAACTAAGTACTTTTTAATATTTGTGCCGTCGAACATTAACTACATAAAGTAGATAGACTTAAATACATTTTCAGTCGAAAATACTATTCACTGAAGTTAACAACAAAATGTTCTGGTCACTTTTTCCCCATAATAATTAAACGCTTCGAGGCTATTCAATAGACGGTACAACATATAAAATATCATTTAAATCGATAAAATCGATATGTGTGCTTATGAGTTATGGCGTACAATTTGTAATCTTAAAGAAATCGGCTTAAAGGTTAAAAAAGTTATACATTTAAGTGACTAAGCGGTAAAAAAAATCCAATTCAATGGCATGTTATCATTACATGCATTTTTCATCAATAAATAATGTAAATTAAAATTCTAATATTCAAATTATGTAGTTTTTTTTCATTTTTGCTCATGTGGAGTTAATATGTATTACATATATATTTACAAAAGTCGTTTTAATTTGAAGTACAATAAATAATTTGTTTTCAATAAATAAAGTAATTCGAATTTTCAAAATTGTGATATTTGACTATTAAAAGTTACCCTATAAAATTCCCCTTTAATAGAATATTATAACTTCAACATAAAAAAAATATTTATTATTATTTTATATAAAAATTCTTTATAAAATATATTAATTAAGTAATTATATATCCATCTATTTTATTTATAATAGAAATTCAAATTTCAATACTGAGGTTCTATTTTATTTTGATATGTTTTCTTTTATTATAATTTTAATTGACTGATAACTCATAGACTATATTCCCTTTCTTACGTATTAAGATTTTTTTACTTTCACAACATCATTAGAAATGATTTATGGAACTCATTAATCATAGAAAAAATTCTGTGGGACCATTATGTTTTCGACTTTAGTACAAAGCTTAAGTAGATAGCCATTATATTTGAATCAGAGTTAATATTAGTTTTTGTATTCGTACGGACACTGTGAGTTACAGTGAAGTACATACATAACAAACAAAAATGTATGTTACGCCACAGCCTAAACACACGTTTTCACTCTTTTATACAGGTCCTCAATTATTTTCACATACATTTTTGGAACACTTTTCTTCCACAAACAGTTATTTATTTATGTTTAAACATGGGATTATCTCTAGGCGTGAGGCAAGACGCTGACGCCGTGGGTCAATAATCGACTTGATATAAGAGTTTTAGTGGCCAAAATGTATACGCCAAAACATCTTTCAAGTTTTTTTAAATTTTAAACGATTTTTTACATTTATAGAGCATAGATTTTTATCAAGCCTACGTTTATTATTATTATTTTTTTATAATTATTGACAATATGAAAATTAAAAAAAAAACACGTTTTAAAAATACATAATAAAAAATACTTACTTTATAAAAATATTATTATTGTTAAATATATATTTTATCAAAAAAAATTATGTGTTAAACATTATAATATGTTGTATAGTTACGTTGCAAGGAATATTGATTTGTTTGTAAAATGAGTTTTAAATACTTTTTAACGTTGAGTACAGCAATTCGGTATTTCCCACAGTTACCGTTTAATAGTTAATAATTATAAAATAATCGGTTAGTATAATTTACGGTACACGTGTACATGTCGCCGTTAACGCGAATTAAGTCAATTCATGAATAAGGTGCACATAAATATAAATGTACTCTAATGAATAAGCTAGTGAATGCCCCTAATTATATAATTAGGTGCATATAAATGTGTATTAGCAAAATGAAAATTAACTGTTTAATCCCATTGCTCCGATTGAACTAAATCTAACACGGGTATTAAAAACTGCGTATAAACCTAAATCATTATAAGCATTAATCTAATGCGAATTAAGTTAATGCGCATTGACGACGGCATGCAGTCGTGGTGACAGAGTATGTATTCCACAATTGGTACTTAGGCGACCGGTAACTGCCTAGTGATTATTTGGAAGGTGAAGTCGGTATTATTGTGCACACGAACCCGTTTTTTATGCACAATAACTTTATATTATGTGAATTAACGACTGCGTGTAAACGTGATAATTGGGCTAATCCAAAACTAGGCTAAAATTGTTTGTTTCATTATGCCTAGCTTATATAATGTGTTTAGTGCTGATCGTTAATTCTCAATACTCGCACTGTACTATTTACTTACATATTATTAAGCAATTTTAATTGTTACTAATGCTTACAAATTACAGTTAATTAATTACTTAGTCTGTTGAAACGTATTAGTATAGTACGAATAACAAGAGCTAAAATGGTTACCACTGGGAGTCAATATTTTGTTTAATGATTGTCAGGGACCAGATCGATTAGGTTCGGCCCCCGTGACACTTCACGACACACGCATGTATTTGATAAAGTTATAAAAATTGAACAAGTTGACTCAAGTATCATAAATATCTTGTCGTAGTATTATTTTGGGTCAAATGAGGCGTTATATTGGGCATGTAATTCATAGTTCTAGTAAGACTCTTCGCGTCATTCGTCGGACTTGTCGATGGATCTTCTACGACTGGTTTGTAATAATGGTACTTAGAAAATATACCGAAGAGTGCTTCGAGCGTCAATGGTAAATCGTTCAGGCGAATATGAGAAGCATTTTTTTCTAATTTCATCATTTCTACTGATTTTAGTTCTTTCTCCGACCGTGTTTCCAATAAACTGATGAAGCTGCCTTTTTTTAGTATCGGCATTAGTCTGGGCAATGCGTTTGAGCTCATTCTTTTCAGAGGATTCGACTTGCGTAGCTTGGTTTTTCTAGCATCAAATATTTCTTGAGGAGTCATTTGTAAAAATCTAATTACATAAAAAAAAAAAACTGTAATATTCATTTAAATCGATATCTTTCATCAATTCTATACTGTACGCATTAGTCAAATTTTAAGTGCAAGTTTACGGTATTAGTACGAGTACCCAGTTAGAACTAATTAAGTTTG